TTTTATCGTGGTCCTTATTAAAAAGTTCGGCCGCTTTCCGCCTGCAAGCGGCGCCTTAATATTAGCCAATTCTTGTGAGTAGGACAGGCGTTTGTGGTACACATTGGCGCAATATTCTCGCGAATATTTCATCTCGACGGTACTTCAGGATTGTGTTAAGCTTTATGTTTGTCAATTTACCAAAATACTTTTTTCGATTAAATTTTCCCAGAGAAAATTAATTTAAAAATATGATTCAGGTACTTTAGAGTTTTCCATGTCGCAAAATATTGTCATCTCAGCACATTTTCGTTTGAACCATGTATTAGTCATTAATGATATATTTTAATTCAATCTATGATTTTATTACGTATTAAACAAATTCAGTGCACTAATATGTACCATTGATAAAAAGTTTCATAGTTTTTATTCGGAATCTAGTTTTTCTTTCGCAAGATTTTTTTTCGCATTGAGGTTGATGGAGTTTGTAGTGTTTTTATTGCTTCTCGAATATCTTGTTAAAGTACCATCTCATTCCTTTTCGATATTAAGAAGTTAGAGCCGCGCAGCAGCCTCGGCTTTGCACGAATGGGCAGGCTCGTCCGGACAAGTACCACGACCTCACAGAAGATCGGTGTGAAGTGGAAGAATAATACTTTCGCGTTTCATCTGATCAGTGAGGTAGCTGGAACCCAATTATCAAAAAGGTTGTCAACGCATCTGCAAACCCTCGGGTGTAGCAGATGTCCATGGGCGGCGGTATTCACTTAATATCAGGTGAACCGCCTACTCGCTTAACAACTTTTCACATTAAACAAAAAGGAAAGAAAGCCTTACATGAATAATGCCAGATTAGTCTAAGAAAACTTCAACGAACGAACGAACCCAGGAGGCATCCTTAAATTTTTGGTTAATTCTGTTTTTGAACTGAACTGACCGAAAACTGTTAAATAAATGCTATGGTTATCCATTTTAAAACAATCCTAGATGCTAAACATCAGTGCCATTAAAAGTCTATTTAATATAGCCTTAAACTGTTACCTTGTAGTCGTGCGGAATGATGGCACATACAAAAGTTATTCAGATTTCAACTATAGTGCCAATGTCTCCATTGAATTTGCTTTCTATGAGAAGAGTATGGGATTGCAGCCTATGGATCATGATCATCCAAAAGAAGTAGAGTTCAGCATTCTGCATGAACGGACAAATGAATGGATTCCCTCACTTCCAGTTACACATCATTATCGCGAGCAAAAAAGACAATAGCCGTAAAGTTCGCTGCACCCTCGGCAGTTTCAAAACGTAGTATGTGTTGATACGTTCCACTCGAAAGAGACAATTGCTCTAAGGTTCATTTTACAACGCCCGCGATAATACGTACGGGCGAAAGCTACGAACGGGATCATATGTGAGTAAATATCGGATCAAGATAATATGCGCAGCGCTGCGAGTAAATATCTAGAGGGCATCGACGTGGGGCGCGCCGGCAGCGAGTAATTTCCGCTATCACGCGGTCGAGCAGGAGGCTTCGTTAAAACGCGCGGCGTCCCGGATGCGAGACGCGAATGCGACCCAACACGGGGAGACACATAAGCAAGTGGAAAAAAATGACTCCGCCATTCAGCGCGCTTTAATTTTAAAACCCCGTTGCTTCGTTTGCGTTGTGATTTTTTTCCTCCCCCTCCCCCTCGACCATGCCAACCTCTCGCGTACTCCTCCGCCGTCACTTTATTCTCTTCGCATTCACGTGCTTCAGCCGTGGCACGAGGCGGACTAAACTAATATGCCGTTATTTACTTTATTTTTTATTTTTATTCAAAACGCTCCATGTTATTTCGTCGACAATATTTTTAATGAGAGACAGTTATATTTTTATTGCTCCCGCTTAGCGGTCGTTTTCTGAACATTTAATGTTTTGAACGGTTTTATTTTTGTTGACAGTAGACTTAACGCTTGGTTTTTTTTTTCTCTCTCCGGATACCTATTAATCGGGACATATGGAAGTAAAAAGTACCCACCATAAACAACTCAATTAAATGATCACAACATATTTGAATTAACTCAGTAAAATGAAATTATCGAAATTACAGACTGATTTTGTCTCGCTGAACAGTACTACTAAGTTATGATATTTGTAGTATGAACTAGTAGTGGTCAATGAGTATTAGTACGCATTCGGCGTTAACACTTTTCTTAAATCGTAGCTTGTTTTGTTTGTTCAAAAACCTAGTATTTACTATCTCTATTTTAACTCCTGTTCTCAATTATGTTAGAAAAAACAATTACTCGCTCAATGTAACAATAGTATAGAATGAACCCATTATTACAGAAAGCGTCAATAGGACCATATTTTATTTTTTATTAAATCCCTGATCAACCTGAAAATCTCGCTCCAATACTTAGGTCCTTCGTGACTCATTCGTTTAAATTAAGTAATTCCTTCTTCGAGTTGCATTCATTGCACCCTCTCGGTATTACGATTATGTACTTATTTATCCGTTCACCCTTGCTCTAAAGTCTTTGTTCTTGAACTCATGGGTAACGGGAATAATAAATAATGATCAAATCGATTTTTTCCTCCCTTAGTTCAAAGGGTTCAAGAAATCTAAAATGATCCTTTAATTTCAGCTCTAGTCAAACTATTTCTGTTATTTTTGTTATTTCTGTTATCTTTGTTATGCAATTGCTTTTTTTAGTTTAATTGCTTTTTATTTTTTTTAATTTACCAAGTTACTGTGGAGAGGTATGTGTATTTTTATTTAAAAGGTAGCTACTAAAAATCAAATATCAATAAAAGTAGCTACTTCAATCAAGATACATGTATAAGAGGCCAGTTAAAACAATTTGGTTGTTAACTTCGTTTTTTTAAGGTTTAAATAAAAAAAATATTTACAAATAGCTGACTCGGCAAACGTTGTTTTGCCATATAAATTATTTCTAGAGGAATCGGAACGCGTTCAAAAATCGTTTGACAGGTTGACAGGTACAGTTTGTATGGGAAAAAAGGAAATTGTTGCTATTTCGATTTTCCATGCAATGTTTCTATAATTTCTCATCGTTTAAACCTTCCCAGGACTGCCAAGAATATATGAACACTAAAATTAGCCAAATCGGTCCAGCCGTTCTCGAGTTTTAGCGAGACTAACGAACAGCAATCCATTTTTATATATAAGACTAGCTGACTCGGCCAACGTTTTTTTGCCATATAAATTATTTCTAGGGAAATTGGAAGTGTTTGACAGACATAGTTGACAGGTTGACAGGTACAGTTTGTAGGGGAAGATAAAATTGTTGTTATTTCGATTTTTTTATGCAATTTTTCCATAATTTCTCATCGTTTAAACCTTCCCTGGACTGCCACAAATATTTCAAAACCAAAATTAGCCAAATCGGTCTAGCCGTTCTCGAGTTTTAGCGAGACTAACGAACAGCAATCCATTTTTATATATAAGATGTACATATTCTATATACATCCTACGTGCATTTATAACCAACAATTTCCTTAATACTATTCTGTATATAAATGGCTCAGTTAAGGATCAATGTGAATTACGACCACAAAGAAAATTGTGGCTTGGTCTAATAAATCTTGTTGCTCGATGGCACAAAAAATCAAGCAATGTAACAAGCTGCTGTTCAGTTTATCGTGCATACGTACAAAAAGACATAGACGTCACCAATATAGACATTGTATGCTAGGAGCGACAATATCATATTATTTTTCTTCCCCCAACTTTCGAAACCCCGGTCGCAGCTTTGAATGTCATGAATAATTTACAATGTCCACGATATTATGCGAAAAATCGCAAGTCGCCCGTACGCGTATGGGAAATACGGCATCGATTTTTATAACGGTGTACGTTATTTACACACACGTGAAGTGCGGGACGCAACTTCGTTTGTGATTGCGATGGGTTCATAGCTCTTAGAATGGCGTCTAGGCTATGGAAGTGGGCTAAGAAAATGTATAATTTACCCGTACAACTTTTTGTATTACGTGATCGTTTATCGTGCAAATATTCTTTCCTAAGCCGGCATCGCATTTTTAAGCCCTCCGGTGTTGAAAATGTTCATGGGCGGTAGTGATCACTTTCCATCAGGTGAGCCTCCTGCCCGTTTGCCACCATTTGCCACCATGATTAGAAAACGAAAACTCAGTGGCAAGTTTTTTTGTAGATTAATGAATTTCCTTCTAACATGAAATAACGTATTTATTGTTATCGTTTGGTATTCATAGGGAAAATATATATATTTTACGTGAGCAAAGTTTTTTTGTTCATTATCAGCACTCCGTTAATGAGCTATATTTGTTTTTGCCAGCGAAGCTAACTATCAATTTGATGCAGTATTTATTTTCCTCGGTAATTGGTACAGCTCCGTATTGAATGGCTAATTATGAATCTAAACAATTCACCGCCAAATTATTCAACAGATGTCCCAATAACCATCACGTTAATTAGTTTCTATTTGAAGTAAACAAACGATTTTAGAACATATTTCTTTTTAACCTAAGGTCAATATTTTGTTACCATAATTTTAGGTAAGAAAATAAAACTGCTGGCTAATTCAGCTGTGCAATATTCCAAGTGTTATATAACTATAATACAACTATTCGATTTATTTTATTTAAGGTACAAAATTATGGACACTTGTAACGGAATTTAATGAAGTTAATATTTTATTGTCCATAGTGTTAAGTAATATATACGAAGCAATTGCGAGAATATAATGAACCAGGATCGGTAAAGCAATTTTCCTCTAATTATAACCGAGAGAAAATTTATTTTAACTGTTTACGATTTTAGTGCTACATAAGATTTTAACTGATATAATTAATAATATAAATGAAAAACAAATAACTTATACAATGGTGTGTTTTTAATTCATATCGGTACTTCCAAACAAAGTGAACTATGTATTTGTAAACGTAGTAACTTTAGGGATTTTTGCCTTGAAACTATCGCATAAATGTGCAATGGCAGGATGAAGGAGCTTGGCATGACCAGACTGTTTCTCGGCAGGCCACGTGGGCGGCTGTGGCATCACCGACGAGGTGGTCCAATGGATGGACCGCATACAGAACTCCGGGGTCGATGACGACCCGCCGACGTCGCCTGCGCCCTCACCGCCGCCCCACCCGCCCCCGCACCCCAACAGCCTGAGGGATGAGCCCCCAAGGTGAACTCATTTGAACCGGACAAATGTTGAGTCATTTGTCTAATACTTATAGTGGTTACAGTGATATCGTGACACCTGCGCAGGCAAACCTGCACAGTTACCTCTCCGGTAGACCGCAGCGTGTATGGCGTATATATGTATATTAATTGTGATAGGGCCAAGCAATAGTATACGCTGTTGCATGAATGGGCAGGTCCGTCCAGGTAAGTATCACGACTTCACAGAAGACCGACAAACGACACAACAAAATATAACGACCATGTCTTTTGCAGCTACTGGGAGCACCATCACAACAAATACTCGCGGGCCGCGAACACGGGCGAGCACACGAGGACGCGCCGCGCCGCACAGAACAACAACAACACGTGTTCGCTCTTCATAGAGACGGATCCGCTATTGTGGCGTCACGTCAGGGAGGGCTTCCCGGATGTGAGTCGATTGCAATGATATATTTTATATACAAATACTAGGTGGGTATGACACGCGCACCGAAACTGAGGCGCTCAAATTACGCCGATTTGTGTAGTTAGATTGCAATTCTATAGACTGCTATCTCTTTCGGTATCATACGTTATATCTATATCATCTGTCACATTCGCTTATATATTTCTTAATATAATGTAAAGCGGAACATATTTAAACGCCGCTCAGTATGGACATGCGTCATTTATATTATTAAACATCATTGAGTAGATTGCGCCCCTCTTTCACAATCGCTCGAAAGTCGCCTCTCAGGCGGGGAACGAGTTCGCTGTACGCCAATCTCACAATGTCCTAGCGTCGAAGATCTGATTTGATAGAGTTGTCGAACTCGTCAAGGTCAATATTGCAGGCGGTTCCTTATGCTAAGACCTAAGTGAATGCCGCAGCCAATAGTATGCAGTACCTATGAGGTTACGGTTACCTCACTCAACGAGACGAAACGTACTACAACCGTAGTACTACCTCGAACAACGCTGCTCATTTTTGCAACAGCAATACTGCGTGGGCGTATCACAGTCAATTCTGATAAAAAAGAAAAGTAAAATAACAGCCTATACATGTCCCACTGCTGGGCAAAGGCCTCCTCTATATAGAGGGTATCAGGGCATAGTCCACCACGCGGCCCCACTGCGGATTGGCGGACTTCACATATCTTCGAAATATACTTTATACCGCGGCACACGTGATAAGTCAGCACTTAAAGTTAAAAACTTCATTGGTGCCGGCACCGGGGATCGAACTCAGGTTGCTCGAGTATATTGAATTAAAGGCGAGCGGCCGGACACTGAGTTATCACGGCTCTTTAGATTCTGATAGCCTATTAATAAACGAGTGATTTTGTAAGAGCTTCTATCGAACAAAGTAAAATCTGTGTCAGATACCCGTTTCTATCAAGATCCAAGACAAGACGTTGAGTGTTGCCGACATGTGTATGTTTTATTAATCTCCGCTAGTTTCACGCGCGTTGCAGTCAGACACGTTTCACGATGGTAATACGTGGAAGTTGCCGTGCTCAGCGCTCGGCTGTTACATTGTTAGGAAGTTGCGAACTCAAAGTCCTACCGTCTTACACTTTGGAAGCGTCCCCGATGTTTGAATATTATATTTGATGTATGAACACAGTTTACGAGGGGTGAGGTGTTACGTTTAAACTTAATTCATATTCCTGATGCGCTCACACAGCGTCTACACGGTTTAAGTGCAACGAGCGTGCAAAATCTCTGCGATAAGTTGCTTAAGGCATTAAAGCATATCGAAAGACAAAAAAACTTTAAAAATGAGAACGAAACATAATCTTTGAAAATCAACTTCAGTTAAAAGTATGAATTTGGAAAATTTTGACACTAATTTTTGACAGGCCAGTTTTTCAGGCAGGAAAGAAATCAAAACCAATCGATGTTTTGTTAAGTGCAATATTTTTACTCTGACTGAGTAATAAATTGTTATCGCATTTTAAAATATAAGTACGTATAATATTTGTTTTGTTACAATACTGAAATGGTAACTAAAAAGCCAATAAGAACAAGAAGTGATTGATGTTGACCAATGAGGAAATACCAACGTAAAGAAAAATAAAAGCTTACCTTTTTCTTTACGTCAAAGTTGTAACTTTAATGAAGCACAAACTAGACTTACTTTGATTAAAAATTTGCCCGGACGGAGGAATCTTTCTTTATTCTTTGAATTGTTTTCTACAACAATATCTGGGAAAGTTCGCCCCTGGATAGTGCAGACTTTAGGTCACATGCTTTGTTTGACACTAATGTAGCTTTTAGTAATAAAATAAAATGAGGTGTTTTGTTAACTAACTCGAACTAACTGATACAACTTGTTCTTCTTTCGTGGAGAAAATAATGCATAGAAAATTAGGCATGTCATTGGATACGATCTCGTGACTTCACAACGCAAGTCCGACGTCCCAGCTATCTTAAAGACGTATTTTCGGTCGACATGTTTTTGTTTAAATAAACTACTGCTACATATAACTGGAATAATTGTATGAGTATATAAAATGAAAATAGATAACTTTTGCACATTTTAAGTTTTCCTATTTGCTAATAAGTATTAGGATATTTTTGGCGCGTTCTCGATTAGTACATAATTATGTACGTAATTATTAACGCGCAAACAGGTAATTAAATTAGTCACGCTATGGATAATGTGGACAAGGCCAACAGAAATCGATCAAGCAACATGTGTGTTGATTTGATTATAAATTTTTTCCCAGATATTGTATTAAAGTACAAGTATTTTGAATTTTTTAATCATACTTGCTCTCGCACTTGTAAACGTAGGTGGTTTTACGCATTTGAAGGTTACGTTAAGTTATCAAACGCCGCCCATGGACATTGACAACACCCGTAAGGTTGCAGATGTTTTGCCACCTTTTAATAAAGTGGGCCCCGGCTACCTCACTCACAAGAAGAAACGCAGAAGTGTAACACTTCCACTTCATGCCGGTCTTCTGTGAGGTCGTGGTACTTCCCCGGATGGATCTGCCTATTGTTGCAAGCGAGATGTTGCGTGGCCCTACCACAGTAAAACGGTTGTTGTGGTGAAATTCCGACAAGTTCGTTCTCTCTCGTGAAATCGTTTTCTCTCGTTCCAGCATCGGGATCCGAGTAAGAAGAGCGAGGTGGACATGAAAACTCGAGAAGAAATCCTATCGCTGATATCTCATCACGTGGAGGCTGTTAATTACATTTACCGAGACACGAAATTCGACGGTCGTTTCGAGCATAGAAATATTAAGTTTGAAGTTCAACGGATAAAGGTTAGTATTCGCTTTGGAGTCTGCGAGGGGATTTTTTTATGATGTATACAAAATTGTTAAGTTCTTTCATTCAGTGGAATATTTTCAAGTTTTCGCAAGATTTCACGGCTTTTTCTTCGACTAACAATTTATTACTTAAAAATTGAACTTGAGTTGATTTAAAATTGTTCAAGATTCGTGAAGCAAGGGCAAGTGAACCCTGGATCCTCAGGGTTGTCAGTAAAGAAACTTTTTGTATGACATACATCAATATCGAATTATATATGATCTTACTCATGCATGTTATCAAACGACACCTCAAAACATAAAATGTGTAGACAAAACTGTCCCAAAACCTCTCCCCTGGCGGCATTCGAACCTGTACCTTCCGAATTACACGTCCAGCCGCTGCAGCCGCTAAGCTAAGCGGACGTCCACACCGCGAGAAAATAGCGACGCCTGCCTACTCCCTAAAGCTACGCCTCTTCATTAATTACGATTTTGTTACGCCATCTATCATCCTCGTACGGTTCCACAGAAAATCAGCATCCACGAGGTTTACTAATTCCGTGAACTCATGCCGAGTGGTAATCTATTTGGTGCATTTAGATTGTATTTCTTTCTATTATTTTCATTTATCTATGTCCAAATAAACTTTTCTTTCTTTCTTTCTTCATCTACAGATCGACGACGACTCGATGTGCAACCCGCACCACTTCGCCACCGAGACGAACCAGTTCTGTTTGGAGAACATCGACGTATCAAATTTCCTGAATCTACACTCGCTAGGCAACCACGAGGACTTTTGCCTGGCATACGTCTTCACTTACCGCGACTTCACAGGGGGCACGCTCGGTGATTTTTTTTTCTTATAACTTTTAAACTTTTTTTAAAGTCATCTGTAATAAGAGATAGGTAATGCCTTTGGCATTGAGTCCTCCTTTGTACTTTTTATGCTTAAAGGATTAATAAATAAAAATATATAAATCTGTTTCTAAACTCGTTTACACACGAGTCTAGTAAACGAGTCTAGAAACAGATTTATATATTGTATTATTCAACAGATCTGTATCATTTCAGTTTGATCTATTTTTTTCTTCCAGATTTAAGAATAATAAGAATACCATAAAATGTAGACACGACTTTTAGATTTTGTTCACAAAGTTCAATATACTGTACCCTAAATGCCCAACATAGCACTGCTTGGAGATTACAAAGTTTTTTCAACAGGCTGTGAAATACCTAAAACAGTTATATGTATAGAATAAAACAAGTCTACGGACTTCTTATTTTCCACAAACGGCACTTTTTTTTTTATGTAAGAAGATCAATTGAGGTAGCGGTTAACCTGATGTTATGGAAATTTGCAATACCCGTAGGGTTACAAATGCGTTGCCACCTTTTAATTCAAATTTGCTATGGGAGGTCAACAATAACTAACACACAACAAGAACACGGAGTTGTTTCAATATATTTAATACGGATCACCAGATAAGTATGTATTGTCCTCACACGCTAATTATGTTCCATGCGTACTCTTCCGCTATTTCGTAAACGACATGCTCTCATTCGCGTACCAGCGTAAAATGAGCCGCCGCGCCGCACGCCTCCGCACAGTATTAGCAACGCACTACGATATTCGCGCAGGCCTAGCGTGGGTGGCGAGCGCGACCGGCGCGTCTGGCGGCATCTGCGAGAAGTACAAGACGTACACGGAGACCAACGGCGGCATGTACCAGAGCACGAAGCGCTCGCTCAACACCGGCATCATCACGTTCGTCAACTACAACAGCCGCGTGCCGCCTAAAGTGAGCCAGCTGACGCTCGCGCACGAGATCGGCCACAACTTCGGCTCGCCGGTGAGTTGGATCGATGCACTGGATAAAGTCTAGTATTCGTTGGTGACGTTGGTGCAGCAGTTTGTTTTTATGGTTCACGCAATGAGCTTTATAAAAGGATCACCCAGGTGTTGAACGTAACTGCGATTTTAGAAAACTTATTGGCCGCGACCCGCAAAATAGATTTTTTTTCCTTGAAGCCCATTAAAATTTGAATTTCATTAATAAAATTAGAGGACATACACTTTAGAGCATTCGTTGCCTTTTCGTCTTTTTACAAATATCTTGTAAGACATTACATTTTTTAATTACAACCGCTTTTGTGGTTTACACAATCTTCTTTCTTTCCTTCTGCCCTTATGCCAATTTAATGCTTATTGTATGAAATTTAGACCTGTAGCAGTTGCTTAATTTGAAGTATGATTTTTTTACTATAATTCTTAAAATAAATATTAAATGAAAAACAATAATTAAAATAGAACATTCGGGACGCTGATCTGATTAAATATCGGTTTCAAAAGAGGCTTGAGAGTCTAAGTTCACATGCAGAACAGTGACACCGCTGTATGTACCTATATTAGTACACACTCGATGGATGCAGTTGGCCCAGGATCGTGCCTCGTGGCGGTCTTTGGGGGTGGAACATTCACCGTGTTCAGCAGAGGACCTTGCTGAAATGATGACGACGATGATGACGATAAATGTGTATGCGCGCAGCACGACTACCCGTCCGAGTGCCGTCCGGGGGGCCAGCAGGGCAACTACATAATGTTCGCGTCGGCCACGTCGGGCGACCGGCCGAACAACGGCCGCTTCAGCGCCTGCTCGATCGGCAACATCAGCGCCGTGCTCGACGCCGTGGTGCGCGACGACCGCAAGCGGAAGTGCCTCACCGCCAGCGAGGGCGCCTTCTGCGGCAACAAGATCGTGGAGGCGGGGGAAGAGTGCGACTGCGGTACGTTCGAATTTCGAACCACTTTCTCTCTTACTCTTTGTCTCTTGCTCTCTCTTTCTCTATTGGCACTCGCTGTTGGGCAACGCATCAGTATCATAGTCACTTGTGATGTTCGCGTACGCTGTCCATGGTACTAAGTACAACGGTCTCACAGAAGACCCGCGTGAAGTGGAAGTATTTATACTTTGAAAGTACTCTCATCATATCTATATATGTGAAAGTACTCTCATCATATCTATCTGCTCACCAAGCGATGTAACCGGAGCTAACTATTATAACGATGTCTATGGGCGGCAGTAATCTTATCTATAACTTAATCTCAGGTGATATTTTTTTTTCAAAACATTGTCGTCATCCATTTGGGATGATGTCAAAGAGTTAAAGTAAAGTAGTAGCCTATATAATGTCCCACTGTTGAGCAATGGCCTCCTCTGTACAGAGGGTAGGCATAATCAATTACGTGACCCCACTGAGGATTGACGGACTTTAAATATCTTTGAAATATTTTTTTTATTTTTTTCGATAGTATTCAGGTTTCCTCACGGTATTTTCCTTTATCGAGCTGTCACGGCTCAATCTGCTTTTCCGTCTTGTTATCACTATGATACTTGAGAACATAATTGTTCACTTATAACCAGAGTACTATTGTAATAAATTTCATTCCATTAATATAATGATTTCCGCCAAATTATTTTAGAAAAAAGTTGTAGTCTTTTTAACCACTGAATTATTTTAATCAATTAGAAAAATGTACCCACGTTATATTCTGTATTATTGTTTTAGAATCTGAACTTACATTCCTATTATATTATTGTACAACAGGTTACGACGAGAACGAATGCAAAGACCAATGCTGCTACCCGCGTCAGTTGAGCTCATACGACAGGGAACGGAACAGCACTGCAAAGAGTTGCACAAGGAGAGCGAACACACAGTGCAGGTTAATAGCAGCTGTCAATTCTGACACGCATCATCCATATTTTTCCATATATAAACATGAGCTGTTTGCGTTCGTCGTTTACATTAATTTCGACCTTTAGTAATCCAGTGCTGAAACTCAGTTTTTTTTTTCTAAATGATAGATGGAATGCGAAACATAATTTCTATGTAATAAACACGATTATTGCACATTTGCACAACACACACACATGCAAAATATATGTATGCCCGACGCACTTGAACCGTCACTTGATCGCGCTCGACTGCGGATCACGTGACCGCCGCGTATTCCGTCCCGTACACCAATATTAAATACACCCACAAGTGCACAACACACACACACACACACAGTGCACACACACACACACACACACACACACACACACACACACACAACATGTGTACGCCCGACGCACTAGAGCCGTTGCACAGACCTGAGTGCGCGCGCGAGCTGATCACGTGACCTCCGATCGGCCGTCACGCGACCCGTCCCGTTGCAGCCCGTCGCAGGGCCCGTGCTGCCACTCGGCCACGTGCCAGTTCGTGAGCGCGGCGCGCAACCAGACGTGCCGCGAGGCGACCGAGTGCAGCCACGCCTCCTTCTGCTCGGGCCGCTCCGCCGAGTGCCCCACGCCGCGCGCCATGGCCAACCACACCAAGTGCAACAACGGTGCGCCCGAATGTTTCTATTATTATGCAGCTCGCGCGAGGAACGCCTCCGCTTCGAGCCTATATCATGATGTTAAATACCCTATGACATGAAAGTACCAGTGAGATTTTTTCGAATCCGGTAGTTTCAGAGATTAGCGCGTTGCGAAGTGGGTAACCCTCGGGCATTGTTGTTTCAGACTTTTAGAACTTATATTGAAGTAAGAGTTTGAATGTAACTCAACGAGTCTTTGAAGTTAGTAACTCCTTGGAGTTGGAAACCTCTTTCAGGGTGACATTGTTCTTCTACGATGTATACCGTACCGTCTATATTATTTTAAGACTTTAAATGCTTTTACTATTTCCCTCATCTGTTTTTACGCTTATAGTCTGGAGGATATATATAACTTCATCTCATCTTCCTCATTCTCTTCCTGACCCTAGCAACTAGACATTAATGGTGAATAACAAGGATATTGTGAACAAAAATTTATCAACGATCATCTTATAAACCTTAAAACAGTACAGTCGCCGATCTAAATCTAACAAACAATTTAAGGAATCGCCAGTCTATCCCTACCCTCTGTGAGGAACCATTCAACATCACCATCTCCGGTATATCGACGTCCCGATTAACGCAGACACGCAGCTGTGCATCAACGGCGAGTGCCGCGGCTCGATCTGCCTCGCGTGGAACATGACCGAGTGCTTCCTCTCGTCGAGCCCGTCGGCGGCCGGCGACGGCGTCACGGCGGTGGTGGACCGGCGCGCGCTCTGCCAGCTCGCGTGCCAGACGGGCGCGGCGCCGTCGAGCTGCCGCAGCACGGCCACCTTCGCGGCGCGCGTCGGCCTGCCCGAGGGCGGCATCAGCCTGCGGCCCGGCTCGCCCTGCGACAACTTCCAGGTGGGCGGCCGGTGCGGTCCTTCGGGCGGGATGCGCGCAGATCGTACTGAATAACCGGACGGAGAGTTCACTGACTGTTGTTGAGCCAATATGTCGCTGATATGCCACGATCTATTAACGGTGGTAAAAGTAATTCGAAAGTGTAGTTCGTCAAATTTGTTTTTGACTCTATTTTTTAAGAATTTTGTACAAATTTAGACAGCGCGCCCTACCGCACACGGGTAGGGTGCTTTTTTTTAAATGTGATAAAAGGAGTTGTTTATAGTTAAACTATCTTGCGAATCAATATTAAAATTAATATGAATAGGTTAACTAAGAGCTAGGTTAACTTACACATTATATAAAGTTACCACCGAGAAATAGATAGTAGTCACACACTAACTACTTCAAGATTTTAAAAATTTATTCAAATCTAACATGTCCCCTAAAAGCAGCCGTCTTCGGCAGGGCTACTGCGACGTGTTCCTGAAGTGCCGCGCGGTGGACGCGGAGGGTCCCCTGGCGCGCCTGAAGAACCTGATCCTGAACCGCGCCACGCTGCAGAGCGTGCAGGCCTGGGTCACGGAGCGCTGGTGGCTGGTGCTGCTCGGCGGCGTGGCGCTGGTCGTGTGCATGGGCGCCTTCGTCAAGTGCTGCGCCGTGCACACGCCCTCCTCCAACCCCAAGCGACCGCCTGCAAGGTGACGTGGCGTATACGGTCATAGAGGGACCACATTTCATTACATATAATTCATCATATTGTCGTGCCATTTCGAAACACCGCAACGTTTGATCTTCTGTGATCACTGTTGTTGTGTGATCAGAACTTATGCCCGGTTCCTATATTCAACGAACCACCGTTAGTTACATAGATTCGTTACTTTCATAACGACTTGTATATAAAAGGCGTATACGCCCGGTTCCTATATTAACAAAATGAGGCGTTTTCCTTACGAACCGTTGCACGGAATTGAGTTACTAGCCGGGTATTAATGAATGAATTAGGAGCAAACGAATGCACAAACTTACCGAAAAACTAGAGGTCGACTCAAAATTCCACCAAACCGACGATTGTATTGGTGTTTCAAAATGCAGTCCATTGACGGCGATGATCACTGACAATCACCACTGAACAAGAAAAGGACCCCTCACAACCTCGCGTACGTTTCGATGGACGCTCATTCATTGCGCGCTGATTTGCGAACAGGCGGCTCTCCGAGACGCTGCGGCGGCCCATGAACACGCTGCGGCGGATGCGGGCGCCGGGCGAGGCGAGGCGGGAGGCGAGGGCGCCCCCGCGCCCGGGCCACCGGCGCGCGCGAACGCACAAGGGCTACGCGCCGCCGGTCGCCTACGCGCCGCGCGACCTCGGTGAGGCACGCACACACACGCACGGGAGAGACGCACGCACACACACACAAACACGTTGCGTGCGTCCAGATCAGCGAGCCGCTTGACACGAAAGCACAGCCGTAGCCGTACGTACGGTGTACTTAAAGACGCAGAACACGCACCGAGTATCGTACAAACACGCTGTATAAATGTAGACGACACACTTCCATATCAGTAATGTTTGTTGTGGTCAAGGTTTTTTTTTCTGTTATAAAGTTTTGATAACAGATACGAAATACAACAAAATGTTATCTACTCAAGTCAAGGTCTAGCTGCCCCCAAGATCTTGCAGTGTATTTTAGTTGTTAAATGTGAGGTATGTATTGCCAAGTAAAGATTTTTTTTTTACCATTCTACAGCATCTGCACCACCCGGACCGAGTGGGCGAAGAAATGACCCTTATGCGAACGCATATCCGCAGTCCTATGAAATGAGACCTCCACAGAAGGTATTATTCCTGTGTTTCAATTTTTTGTTCTTATTTTAAAGTCACAACACCAAAATATAACAAATGTGTTGACAAACACTGAGAGTTTGTCTAGATTTTCTTTACACCAACCTTATGCCGTGGGTAAGATTATGTATATTAAATCCACGTACCATTCGTGCAGTTATCTCTTTCTAATCGTATGATTGTGTGCATTAGGCCTATTATTTATATTAAGTTTTTTTAATGCAATGATGGAGGTACTTCCCCGGCCCAGTTGGGTTATTCGTGTTGCTGAAGCTGTTATGAGCTATGCCACTTTACGATAAAGTTTTAGTACAATATACTTATGATAACTGCCTGTGACGTCGACTCATGTAATTCACATTATATGGATATAAAGGGACTTTATTGTAAACTTTAAACATGAGAAAAACACGACAGTAAATTGTTACAGATGCACATCAGTGCATCAGTGGGGTTGTATAAAAAATCCTTTTTGTTTTTGGCCCCAAATCTTGCGATTACTCCATTGGCGCAATTAATAGGCAAAATATAATAATTACAAATATTTATGCAACCTGAGAATAGTCGATTCGTATGTGCGTGTTTGTCCTAGTAGCTATTTATGTTCGTAAAACGCCTCCACAGTAGAGTTACCTTCTCACCGCTGAGTTACTCGTGCTATATATGAATACCGCGTTTTCTCGTTCAAGGTCTGACAGTACGAGCAGTGCTCGGCCGTCGGGGCTGGCGGTGCGGGCGGGGTGGGCGGGGCCGGGGGTCAACTTGAGCTGGTCGCCCTGGCGCCGGGCGTGCCGCTGCTGCTCGGCTACGTGTACCGGCCGCCCGACCAGAAGGTCACCGTCGCCTCGCAGACCACCATCACGCTGCACTCGCCCGACTCCCTGACGGTCACCAGCCAGCAACGGCCGCAGGCGGAAATATGAAGCCTGCCCCCTTCCCCCCCCCCCCCCCCCCCACTATCCTACCACTGCGGTATACTTAAGCCGGAAAGTGCTTAAGGACATACGCTAGATGCGAAGCCTCTACTACCGTCGTACTAATTTTGTACAATCAAACTGAAAAGTGCGCGAGGATCGGTTCAAGCGAGTCGCCTTCGAGTCCTGCGGTTCGCATCACTCCTTAACCCCCTTCCCCACGTTTTGCAATACTCGGATAGGTAATAAGTCGGTAAATTTTGATTGGGCGTATTCGGAAGTGATGACGTCACATTAATAATGAAGGTAGTCGTTATTCTATTTCGCCAGTGTATCGCTGAGACGGTACGCCTGGATTTATATCGGTGCATTCCTTTGTCACTTGTACGTATAAATGTTAAAATGAGGGAAACTTATTGCTCCCCGGAAACGCAAAAGTGGTTTCAGACGTCACGGTTGGACCTGAAACACAAGTTATGCATAGCTCATGCGTATTTCATTACTTTTGATAAATTAAAGCAACGCTCGTTCAATATACACGATAAGGTAATTAGTTGCTCAATGAGAAATGCAATCGCTCTGTGTACTGGAACGCGCCTGGGCTCAATTCTGTTCGGCGGAGTATGCGATGCTCTGCGAAATTAGCTATTATTTTTATACACTGAAAAGGAGATTATTACGGCTGCCTCCTCCAACCGGTAGCACGGCAAGGGGCTGCAGGAACCGAACATTTATGTATATTTTTGTATATAAATGGTGAAGTACACAAACGCTATGTTGTAAAAAAACTATCGTACTCGGTTACTAGTAACAATATTAGTATGAATGGCCGCAGCGTCGTTCATCTAGAATCTCTGTAAGTGTAATTTTTATATTAAGGTTTTTTTAATATATTTAATGTTAAAGTAAACGGAGAGTCGCGGTGCCATGATAACAATTTGTACTCAATTCGATTTCGATTTCTTTACATCGTCAATAATTTCACTCGCCTGTCATTCCATGATTGTATATTTAGAAAAGAAAATATTGGAAAGCTCAAAATTTAAAATTATCGTATTAAAAATCAATCAAACTGCCAGGGAGAAATTAATTTTGAGACATGATTTTGTATCGACATGTATTATTTTTAACTTTAGTTTCTCTAGGATAATTATAAAGATATTAAACTAACTCAAAATATTTCTCCCTAAAATAATTGGCGCCGATTGTTAGTCTTCCTACGGCAATTTACTATGAGAATTGTATTCGTTTAGTTTAATTTGTAAGTGTAATAATGAATTTGAACAGTATTGCCAAATGATCAAAATGTAATTAGACTGAGAAAAAAAAAACAATCTCTTTATTGTAAATTACATTTGTTTTCATTACTTTTAAAAATAAGCGATGGCTCAAATTAATCGTAAAAAAAATGATTTTCCCTTTTTGTATACAAAATTGCATATCACAGCGTTCTAATTACTCCGTTGTGTCCGCTGTTTATTAATCTGCTTTACACTTCAGTTCAATTGATCTCTAATAGGTAGTGTTTTTTTTTTTTCGAAACATCTATTTAGATTAACTCCATCGTGCAAGCCAAAGAGCATGATGTATTTTTATGATTTTCTATACACTAATATTAAGGATCAGTCTTACTAGTATACCATATAAATGCCATTTTATTAGTGAATGTCGGCGTAACACGCGTTCTTGTAATTGTACTATAAACATTGTATATTTGTATGTAAAGCGAGAGGGTAATGATTCTGACGTAGAATGACTCGACCAATCGTGTATTTGATGGGTAGTAATGTTTCCATCGTGTAGTACTCAATGGCATTATTTCTCCTAATCGTAAGCTAGACTACCGTTATAGATTATTTAATTGACAATGTGAATATTTTTAATTAACAAGATGAATGTTACAACATGTGATTTCAAAATAACAAAAAAATACAATAAATTTTACATGATACGCTCTTTTTCATTATTTTTAACATTCCTATCCATATTATAGGAGTAATTGAGTAAGTTTTTATCTCCTTCTCTTCTCTTCGATGGTTCCTAACCGCTATGTTGCACTAAGACCTAAGACTATAGCTACATACCGGTTAAGATATCTTTGTATTTATTTATTTTTATGCGAAAAGTTATCAAACGAGCAGATGATGCCTGATGTTAAGTGAATACCGCCGCCGATGGACATCTGCCACACGTGAGGGTTACAGATGCGTTGACAACCTTTTAAAAATTGGGCTCCGGCTACCTCACTCACCAGACGAAACGCGGAAGTATTCGTCATACTTCTACTTTACGCTGGTGTTATGTGAGGTCGTGTTATTTACTCGGACGGACCTGCCCATTCGTGCAACAGCAGAGGCTGGCTGCGTGGACCTACCACCGTAAAATCCGTATCTTTTTAAACAAGTTAATATTTTTAATTTAAAAAAAAATTATTAACAGCCTATACATGTCCCACTGCTGGCCAAAGGCTTTCTCTATACAGAGGGTATCAGGGCATAGTCCACCACGCGGCCCCACTACGGATTGGCGGACTGCACATATTTTCTAAATATATTTTTTTTGTTATTATTTCGAAAATATGCAGGTTTCCTCACGATGTTTTCCTTCACCGCAGAGCACGTGATAAGTCAGCACTTAAAGTTAAAAACTTCATTGGTGCTGGCACCGGGGATCGAACTCAGATTGCTCGAGTATATTGAATTAAAGGCGAGCGCCCGGACACTGAGCTATCACGTCTCTGGTGTATTTTTAATTCATTGCCTTTTTACTATCTATATTATTACTTCATTCTTTTAATATCTATATTTTTACTATCTATATTATTTATAATGATAATTGATAAGATATCCTTTAGCAAAGGGCCCAGGATAATAAAAAAATACTAAGTACTGGAACTAAAACTAATGATATGAGAAAGTCAGTAGTAGTAGTAATTTTATTTATAAATTGTATATTACCGGTTCAGCCTGTAATCATTTATTCGTATTTTATCTGTATGGGACCTCCCAACTTCATACCATCTCTTAGATTAGGTACAAAACATATATGCAAAACCTTGTTTAGGATTGTTCTTTGGGAACATGAAGGCGTTTAAGAGCGCCCTAGGACCAGAGGCACGGAATTTTAAAATCTCTGTAGTTGGTGCATAATATAATTGACTTCGGCACTGCAGAGATGCTTAAAACATCTGGGTGCTAATAAGACATGGGTTTAATTCCCACAACGGAAAACGTTCTTGTTTCTACACGTTTTAACGGTGTACTATTTGTATAAATATTTTTATCGCCCAAATAAAAAAAAATTGCAAGTTAGCCGAAAACTAGAAATTTTTAACTTCGTAAAAATATTATTAAAAAATGTAACTTTCCAGTAATTCTATTCCTGATATACATTTAATTCTCTCGGGTTACTTTTGTTAAGTTTAGTTTTTACCGTTTGTTAAATGTACATTACAATATACATTACCCATTTTTCTATTTTAATCAGATAAGTGTACTTATTCGCACTACCTAACAAAATATTTCAAATTTATTTTCCATCACAACTATTGCGTCGGATAAGTACATATTCATTGCTTTACTGGCTGAAAGCATGTTAGAAAAAGCAGTTTATTGTGCAACCGTATAATGAATTATTGTGCTCATAGGTAAGACATATATACAGTATACATATACGTATATACTGATTGTACTTGTATGTGTCATATACATACATATAAGATCGTTATTAGCCTAATTTATCACGCTCTATTAGACGCTATCAAACAACAAAGTTATGTTTGCTGTACCGTGTTATCTCTCTGCTAAAATAATACGACTAAATAACGGAATTAAGAAAACAACGCATGAAGAATGTCGTAAAGTTTATTTATAATATAAGTGTAGGTACAATATTCGGGTGTCCTAAAAAATATAAATATACAAATACTGTTGTAACAAAAACACTTTCGAGCCCTATAGGACTACTGGCAAAATGAAAATAACATTAAATAAAACTTTAATTTCTACTTCCTACATAATATTTTATCACGGCATTGTTACTTTCGCGAATGAAAATTCAAAGCAGGTCCTTTGCATTTAATTAGGTAATTACACATGACCTGATGCCGATAAAAGGTCTTTGGATTGATATCTAAATATTCTTCGTCCACAATCCGGTATCTCTAGGAGATAACTAGGTCGGACCCAGTGTTATTTAGGAGATATCTGTTAAAAGAATGAGAGTGCAAATCGAACACTCCAGGTATTTTTATCTACGAATTATTAATCATATTGAATCGGTTACTCCTTCATATATAAAATTTTGACAAAAACATGCAGGTCGCATTGTTAATTTCATTTTTCGATTGCAGTCTTTAAAGTGAAGTAAGGAATGCTGAATTATATTTTCAATTCTAAAGTATATTATGCTAAAACTGAATACAAATTCTATGTTAAAATGAAAGGCCAATCGCAACTGCTTTAATTAGTTAATGCCTAAACAACTAAGACTTTTACCTCATATTAATATGCCGAACGTAAGAAAAAATGTACCACAAATTAACTAAATACTTTTAAAATATATCGAAATTATGGGACATAACTAGTATTATTTTTTTAGTGTAGCTATATTTTTATAATACTTGGAAAGACTATTTCTAAAATATAACACAAATAAAATTGATAGGAATAAAGTACGTAATCAGAGGTTTTTCTAGTCACAATTAAACATACTTTTTTTGGAGACCTAGAACTAGCTAATTAGTCAAAAATGTAAAATTAATGATGAAAATCATATAAGGGAATCTCAACCTTCTTACTTCTATTGGAATTTATCAATGAAGATGTTACTGTTAATTAGAATATATACTACACATTTTTAACTTATCATCTATAATTTGTCTTTCGTCGATTGCATACAAAAATTATGAATGCAATAGCATTTGTTCCTGTTTATAAACCTCATGATAGGCGTTACGTATCAAAACATATGGGAAGCAGGATTCGAGCAAATCCATGGTAAGGAATGGCGACTCCTGAACAATAAGATCAAGCAACAAATAAACGGACTCTCTGTTTCGTATTGCTTCTTTATCAGTCTCCTGGCCAAGACGCAATAAAGAAGATGAGGCAAGTGCTAAAAACTCCTTCATTCTGTCTTCTATGTCACCTTGTCCGCAAATCGTGAATAACGCTCCGAATATGTGGTTGATAGCTGGGGCCATACAATGAATATTATTAGCGTGGCCCTCCAATGAAGGTCTGTAAAAGGAACCTTCACTGCGAGCCAGTCTCGGCAAAGAAACTGCTACAAATACCATTAACAAGCAAACTATCAAATGCTCCTCTTCTTCTAGTTCGGCTTTGTGCTGCCTCAAAGCAGAGGCCAATGTTGGATCCACCTTACATGACAGACCGGCCGCCGAACACATCTCCGATATAACTCGCATTGGATCACCACTAGGCAATTGCTGCTGGAAATCTTTTATGGAACTTATCAAAAATGGTATACGCCGCTCTAAGACATCTAGTAACGACTCTTGTGCGATTTGACGGAAGCTCAGTATGACTCCAATGATCGTCATCCTTTGAAGCACGTTATCAACATGTTGGAGCCTTTTAAATTGTTCTCTCATTATTTCGGGCTTATCGAAATTCGTTCTCAACATTTGTAGAACTTCTTTATTTTGCACGACCAACTTTTTCAATTCCTGAACTTGACTTGCTATATGCCACATAAGTGTTTCACTCAACAATTTCATACCGTAAGGCCCAATTAGCTCCGCTAATGATCTGAGTTCATTAATATCTGAATACTCTTCAGCATTGAATGGAATTGCACCCTCTGCTGAGAGACTAACAAATGCTTTTTGATTCATTGAAAAACAAATGCTCCCAGCACTTACTCTCCGGAGTAAAATTTCCGAGTACCATTGCGTGTACAAAGACGCTATAGTTTTTTCCCCATGACTATCCATATTTTGAGTTTGTTGTAAAAGACAATTGTTGAAAACTCTGGTAATGTCAATGTGAACATAATTCTCAACTGTTTGAAGTACATTCATATACGCTCTTACACTGACAAGTAACTCTGATGGTTTAGCTATTTCACTAGTGTCTTGGTTAAACATCACCATTCCGACTAAGGCTTTTGAAAATCTGGTCTCTAGATGCTGATGTAAATATTCACGAGGTGCAAATGTATACTCCCAAACATTTACTTTTGAACAATAATTTATAGCATAGCAAAGTTCAGTTAAAGCCATATGTAATTTGTCCATTGTTGTTAATTCTTCTCTTGTTTTCCTGTAACTTTCTGCACCTGGCTTTACTATTTCTATAGGATTTTTTTTGCTCTTGTCTTTTTTCTTTCTGTTTGCCAACTGGGCAATAGTTTGCGCACAGTGTTTGGGGAGTAATTTATCACTCATTGTACATTGTTCATCACAAATTGTTGTGATTATGTTCTTAGCTTCTTTGGCCATTTCATCTAGAAAAATGTTTACCACAGAAAGACTTCTTTCTCTTATGTGATGCCTTTCTTCTGGGCATAATTCATGAGTGCAATTTTGGAAATGGCTACAAATCAGAGGAAATGCAATAATGTATCGATTTTGTGCTGGAAATTCAAGACACATATGAAATTGGCTCTCAAATATTTTGCTGTAAAAGCAAAACAGAGATAAATCAGAAGTCTCTACCATAATTTCATCAAGATTATCCACCATCTTGGTATGAAAAACCATTTTGTCAATAAACTGCGCCAATTCTCTTTGATCTACAAGATTGAGAGGAGTTTTAGCAACTGATGTGTATGCTTGCAATCTAAACCAATCAAGGCGAAAAGCTCGAAAATCAAAGAGCTCATTATCTTCAACTTGTTTCACGCTAAGGCTTGCTGCAGTATTGCAAAGAGATGATAAAATCACACTTTCATCCTCTGGACATACTTGTAAATTTTGCATCATTAAATTAAGAGCCACAGCATCAAAACCAGATAAGTATTGAACATAATATCTTTGCATAACTTGACTATACTTGCGCACTAATGCTCTTAGTTCTTCCATGTGAAACAGTAACTCAGGTAAATGACGATCAACTAAATCCTCTGTTGCCTTACCTTTTACTTTCTGTGGAGGATTATCATTATGTCGTAACAGCCAAAATACTTCATCTCTTGCATAGCAGAGTCCAATGAAAATAAGTAAAGCCTTTGGACCTAATAAGCCAGGTTGGTCTGTCAAAATAAGACCCAACTCTTTCAAAGCAGTTCTTAAAAATTTTCTCCTCTCCCTGTGCTTATAACCAGCTCTTTGGACAGCATGGTGATAACAATCCTTAACTTCAGAAATTCTTTTCCCATACCCTTTAATACCATCAAAAAAGTTCTGAATGTATGAATGGATATAAATAACTTCATCTCTAAACAGAGCTAAAACCCATCCAGACTCTAATGCACTGACCCACATCTTATTGGCATGTTCTTGTTGTAGCATTTGATGACAAATAGCAAAGCCAAAAATAACCCATCGTTCTAAACATTCTAAGGAAAGGTATTCACATGACATTGTGTTTGTTTCTGATGGTTTCAGGAGTAATGCTGGATTGCTCACTAAGCTCAACTTTTGTTCAGATCGCCAATGTTCTGCTGTTAGGTTTCTGGCTGGATATACATGCCACAATGAATTCAAAGCATTTAATAGAAGCTTCTGATGAGGCATGAATTCTTCTGATAGTTTCTTTAAGGGAGCATCATAATCTACAATCAATTGTCCAAGGCGTGGAAAACTTTGATCAATTTGGTTATGAACCATCTCATGTGCTGCATTAAACAGCCCTAGAACAGCCTTTCTATCTTCTACTCTTGACAGCAATACCATTAGAGACACATAAGTTGTAACTAAATCTAAATAATTTTTTGTCAATTCAAAATTCAGCGTTAAGTCTAATGTAACTTGACAAGCATCCATAATGTTCAAGAGTTCACAAACATTATCTTTGAAATCAAGCAGATCAACAAAAGTGTAGTAATATAAAGAAAGTGATTTAATAATTTCATTTCTAATATTTGTTATTGCTTGAAGTCCTTTAACATCAATATTTGGAAATCTTCGCACAATGTGCTTTATTGATGACTCTAATGTCTTGTCAGAAAGAAAAGCTGGTTTACTTTTAGCATCCCCACAGGCCTTTTTGATGTTGTATATTCTTGTTAACATTCCAATGCCACGGTCATTCAGGATAATAAGTTTTTCAGCCAGCTTCTGCTGGCTGATATTCAATGCTCTAGGAATAGTCGACATTCTGTAACAAACAATAAACTAGTATCATTTATTTGGAAGTTGCTAAATAACGCACATAATGGTTTATTAACGGAAACTGAGTACATCGAAATATCTCACTGATAATTGTTTCCGATAGTATATATATTATGTGGTGAAGTATTAAAATTCATAAATTCTGGAAATAACATTTTATTTTTTGTTGAACTATACAATAAATAATATAGATTGAATGTAAATATATTGGTATACTTGTGTCTTCTTTGAAAGATTCTTACCTGCTTAGCTACGCTTGTTAATAGAACTTTCACAAGAAAAACATAATTGTTCACTATTTTATGAACACAAATAGATGCGCATTGCATAAATTTGCTAAAAAACACACAACACTACTAAATCAGGAAAAGGGAGTGCCTTATCCAGGAACACTTACATTAAGCGATTCACTTCGTTTATTGGCATTTGACATTCGATCCATTCATTGGTTGCAACTAAAACTAATTTGACACTCAGGATTGCCAACCAAACCAACCGTGGTTCCTGGTCACGGATAAGACAAAATAAGTGGAAGTGCCACTCGATGACCACAGTTAAGCGAAATGTTGCTATTTTAGTATATTTTACAAAACAAAACAATTTTACGAAAAATCGAAACACGCTGGGAAATGCTGACAACACTGATGGGGGAGGCAGCTATGTATTGAGTTGTCGTTCTTCTCGTGAGAGTAAGTGTTCTGTGATACTGATCTGCATAAATCGCAGCGATTTGTATCGTTTTTAGAACGTTATCTTTGATTGCCATATTTTTAATTAATTTATAATTATTTTTAGTAATTTATGAATTCAATATACACATTTGATTTAAATACAGGAACATTTCTTGAGCCTGACACGCTCCGAATCGCAACCTGTCTACGGCTTAGGGTTCCGGTCTGCGTTCCTCATAAATGTAGCAGTGATGTTGACAAGCTAGGACATCACGGACTGTCATGCCAAAAAAGTGCCGGCCACTTCTCGAGACTTGCCGCACCGCACTTTACCATGTCATACGCCGGTCCCTCGGCACCGTGAACGTGCCAAGTCTTCTTGAGCCGACTGGTATTGCAATTGCGTATGAGTTTTATTCCATGGAAGATGGGCCAGGTGCTGGTATGGGATGCTGTTCAGATACGCTGGCCCCTTCCCATCAACATGGAACCAAGAACAGAGCTGGTGCGGCTTGTGAAGCGGCTGAAAAAGCCTGCAAATACCCCCTGTATTTGCAGGCCTTTCAGGCTCCGAATATGAATTTGTCGCGCTATAAGGTTTTTTAATGAAATAGCAAAAAGGTTAGTCGACATCACAGGAGACCGAAGAGCTGGCAGCTACCTCGGACAAAGAATTAGTCTAACTATTCAAAGGGGGAACGCTGCAAGTAGTCGGAACCTTGCCTAAAGGGACTCCTTTTAATAATACATTTTAGATATTACATTATTTTTTGTTTTTTTTAAGGTTTTTAGTTTTAGTTTCATTGTTTTATATATATATATATATATATATATATATATATATATATATATAGAACAATGAAATGGTATATATTTTTTATTAATTTATCATTTGAATGTTAAGTTTGCTTATAGCCTTTTGCTAGATATAATTTTTAAGGTGTTAATTAGATTTATTCTTCTACATACATGTATTGAATAACTTTTGTACTAACTGGACAACCTATGATATTTATACAGAGAAAAAAAACTAACTTTTTTTTTTTGGATTAAAAGACATTAAAAGCGACGGGATAAATAACAGGTTTCAACATAATTATGATGTTAATAATCCGACACCATAGATAACGACTGAGAAATGAACTGGGAACAAATCACAAAGCACAGATTAATTATAATTTAAATTTTATAATATTAACAAAATGGTGTCTGCAACAGTGTCACTGTCTCCTTTCAGTTTCGTGTATTCTTGTCAATTTGTTGGTTAATATCTATCGATTGTATTTGATTCTTGTAAATGATTGTGTTTCACAACTAAGGTTACTCTTCAAGTTATTACTTATAAACAAAGAGATTAAAAAGAAATTTTACGATGCCGCGAATTATGATAAAAGGCGGCGTTTGGCGCAATACAGAGGTTTTGCTTCTATTTTATTTAGTACTTTATAATTGTAAGTACTTATGCATATTAAGAACAAATACCAATAAACTAATACATTACGTTTTTATTCTTAGGATGAAATTCTTAAGGCTGCTGTTATGAAATATGGAAAAAATCAATGGTCCCGAATAGCTTCCCTATTGCATAGAAAGTCAGCTAAACAATGCAAAGCTCGTTGGTACGAGTGGTTGGACCCCAGTATCAAAAAGACAGAATGGTCCAGAGAAGAAGACGAGAAGCTTTTGCACTTAGCAAAGCTTATGCCAACCCAATGGAGGACGATAGCGCCAATTATTGGAAGAACTGCTGCACAATGCTTAGAGCGTTACGAATATTTATTGTAAGTTTAATGATTCGACCATTAATATTAAAAATTAAGACAACAACATCATCAGCTGTCTACTGCTAAATGTAAACCTCCCCAAAAATACGCCAACTATTTCCCCCCAATGAAAAATTAAAAGCAAAGGTTTCAATACTAGAAAAATCATTGGTGGACATCATCAAATGGTGGTGGACTATGCTCTAATCCCCTCTGTATTGAGGAAACCTCTGCCCAGCAGTGGGGTGTGTATAAACTGTTACTTTACAACTTAATATTTAATAGCAAAACGGACATCTTAAAAAAGTTAACATTTTAAAACTGTAATGTACTTTTCCTTATTTTTTTATAATTATTATAAGTAATATTATATAATTATTTCAATAGCCTTATATCAGTACTGAGACCTTATATCAGTAATAGCCTTATATCAGTAGACTAAATATGTTTGGAAATTTATAACAGAGATCAAGCTCAAAAGAAAGAAGAAGGAGAGGACATGGGAGATGATCCCCGCAAACTAAAACCTGGTGAAATTGATCCTAATCCTGAAACAAAACCAGCAAGGCCAGACCCCAAGGACATGGATGAAGATGGTATAACATTACATTTGTTTGCTAATTTAACAAATTTTAACTCAAAATAAAATAAAAATTATAAATTAAAAAAAAAATTAATTTCAGAGTTGGAAATGTTGTCCGAAGCCCGTGCGCGTTTGGCTAATACACAAGGTAAAAAGGCAAAGAGGAAGGCTAGGGAGAAGCAATTGGAAGAAGCGAGAAGACTGGCAGCATTGCAAAAGAGAAGGGAACTCAGTGCGGCTGGTATTTCAGTGCCAATAAGGTTATTTATATTTGAATATTGTCAATAGTACTTTTCCACTATATTATTTGCTTGGTTTTTTGTTGCTTAATAGTAGACTAATGGATGACTCAATTTCAATAGTTCATTCTGATAATACATTATTGCTTCTTAGTGTTTTTAGTGTCAAAGTTTTTTTGTTTCTTTTTATTTTATTGACTCACTATATGTGTCTTATTTATATGACAAATTGATTGTAACCACTTATTTTGCTCTATCTCAATTTGCTGTAAAAGTATGTTTTTTAAAAATAATATCTATAATACAGACGTAAGAAAAAGCGTGGTGTGGATTATAATAAAGAAATACCATTTGAGAAGAAACCTGCAGCTGGTTTCTATGATACCTCAACTGAGGTTGTGGACCCAATGGCACCAGATTTCTCGCGACTTCGCCAACAGCATCTCGATGGAGAATTACATTCAGAAAAGGAAGAGGTATATTTTTCATGACATTTTATATTAATGCAATGAGTTTAAATTTGCTATATACCATATTTTGGATTGTAGCTTTTTAATGTTAATAATTTGCTACAATTAAATTTTATTCACCCAAAGTTATTTTCTAATAAAAGATAACGATGTACCGAAAAATTTATATTGATATATAGGTCGAATACTTAGTGTTAGCCCATTCCAAACCACACAATTTACCATAACATCATTTACATTGGATAGGCTGATTAATGGTTTAACTACAGACAAAACTGTACAGAACTATTTTGTCAAATATTTACATGTTTTTTCTTTTTGTAGAAAGAGCGTAGAAAGGACAAGCAAAAACTGAAACAACGCAAAGAAAACGATGTGCCCCAGGCTATGTTACAAGGAGACCAACCGGCCCGCAAACGAAGCAAACTAGTGCTACCGGAACCACAAGTATCTGATCAGGTAAATTATATTATTGCAAATATATTTTTTTTATGTGTCTAGCATGCCGGCAGTTCACCTGATGTTAAGTGATAACTGCTGCCCATTGACAATTGCAACACCCATAGGGTTGCATGTTACTTATCTGTTAATCTAATCTACCATATAAGCTTGTTGATAGCTACTAAATAGAAGAAAATCGGCAGACAAATAGGAGAATAATTACTGAACTATTTTGTCCTTAATTATTTACTTGCACAACTTTACTTTAGATAAACATAAGAGACATATACACAAATAGTGAGATTGTTTGATGATGACTCCAAGATAAGATTGTTTTGGCAGTTGCCAAGGTATTGGTTTCGGTGCCGGGCTCGTGTGTTCAATTCTCACACGAGACAACTAGAGAGTGACCCACACATAATTGTTTAAGATCTGTTGGTGTGGTGTTTGCCAACGTGAAATTTAAACATTCTTAAAACACTGTAATGTTATCCTTAAATAAGGGGCCAATTTATTCAAACGGAAAACTACCGACCGACCGATACCTTCAGCTGGAACGTTAGCTGTTAAGATTAAACCTAGGATACATTAGATCTTTTAGGTTGCAGCGGTCGTTGGAACTTGTCACACAATGCTTTCCACTCATACAAATACAATGGCCTTTACACATTCAGGAGCTGCAACAAGTTGTGAAACTGGGTCGCGCATCGGAGGCGGCTCGTGAGTCAGCTGGCGCCGCTGGTGCTCCAACAGATGCCCTCCTGGCCACATACGCGCTCACGCCTGCACCAGCCACCGCTCTGCGAACACCAGCTCATCAAGACAGGTGACCATTACATTCCAATCTGGATGGAGTATAGCTTAGTCTTAAGATTTCATTATTATCGTCTTAAGATTTGACTTATAAGTTTTGGTACAAGACTTGTAACCAAAGTACTTGTACTATATAAAAAAAATGCAAAGAAGGAGAAGTTTATTTAGTGTATGAATGCTCTATCTTTGTGGTTGCTTAGCCATTATTATCCTTTTTCAATAAATATTTTTGGATAAAAGTTTTTCCGAAATAATTTAAATTTAGTACTTAAAATGTGAAGTCAGTAAGTCCTGACACTGACTTATATTTTTTGTATAATGTCCACATCACACAGTCTCAGTAAGGAGGACTGTTTGATTTCTTTCATCTTTGCTTATTGAAATTGGTCAACTTAAGTGTCAACTTAAGAATTTATAGTGGTCACTGTATTGTTCCAGAATCATGATGGAAGCTCAAAATGTGATGGCCCTGACCCACGTGGACACGCCACTGAAAGGAGGACTCAACACTCCTCTCCATGAATCAGACTTCTCGGGTGCGTTACCGCAAACGCAGGCGGTCGCCACGCCCAACACGCTGCTCGTTACTCCGTTCAGGTAATACATGTAATCTAGAAATATTATATTAGCATATTACATTGCTACTGTGAGAGCAAAAAGGTCTTGTGTCAATGTAAATACCAAATTTCAATTTGTAAATGGCTTATTTCTTCCTGTCAAGTGATTTTATTATATTATTGTGAGTTTAAATTTTTGAATAAAAAGAGGAAAATTTTGAATATCATATAAAGAAAAAGTAAAAGGAACAACCTAGACAAGTCTCACTGCTGGGCAAAGGCCTCCTCTATACAGAGGGTATCAGGGCATAGTCCACCACGCGGCCCCAAAGCGGATTGGCGGACTTCACATATCTTCCAAAAATATTTTTTTTCGAAGGACCCTGAGCTATCACGGCTCTAAAAATATTTTGCACTATCAGTAGCAAGCAATGGTACAATTATTCATTGTAAACTATATATGTTTGTATTTTTATCACTTGGTGGCGCAGTTGCTAAGTTATTAGCTTCGGGGCTGAGGGTCGAGGGTTCGATTGGCACATGAATGTTTTCAGGGTCGTATTTAGGGGAGGGCAACTGGGCCTACAGCCTTGGGGCCTCCACAAAAGAGGGGCCCCCACAATACAGACACAATAGAGATTCATTCGTTAAATAATAAAAGAATCTATACTTGATTTCACAATAAATTATTTATAGAAAAACTCGAGTGAAAAAATTTTTTTTAGGCCAAGAGGCGTCCACTCTATTGATGCCCCGAGGCCTCCAGACCTCTTAATTCGGCCCTGGATGTTTATTCCCAAGGAAGGTTGACATCGGGCAGGCAGGGCAGCCAGTCATAAAAAAACAACCCAAAACCATTAACAACATGATTCACATATTGTGCCGATCCCACCTAGGGGATTTAAGAGCAGTAAAAAGAAGCATGTCTACATTTTTAGTAAAGTATAACACCAAAATTAAAAAAAAATTAATATAGACTCATTGAAAATTGAATGATTTTTCTTAATCAACTCTCTGGTTCCCATTATATTATGCTTTGCAAAACTTTTTAATATCAAAATATGTGTTAGCTTTATTTTTGTTTCCCATATTGATTAATTGCCTTTTTAAGACAATTATAACCAAACAATTATGTGTTCTAAAAATTTGCAGATCATCTCGAACTGAAGCATCTACGCCAGGCAGTTTCAACACGCCTAGCCAAGGACAGAATGCACAACCTGCTTTAGCTGTACGTAACATTTCTAGGGGCCAATCCAATATTTTTGCAGTTTTGGAAATGATGGATACAACCAAAAATAACTATTTCAGACACCTGCACTCAGAGATAAGCTTAGCATCAACCCAGAGGATCGAGTAGGGCCCGGTGAAACTCCACAGGTGGCGAACCAAATACAAAAGCAGGTAATTTACAAGTTCATTTATTTTGTTAATATTTATTTGGACTTGCTTATTTATTTATTTATTCAAATTATTCTTATAAGCTGAAACACTGAATATATATGAGCATTGTGCAGCTTATTTGATTCCACAGCATACCTGGGGTGGTGGGCTTGATTCCCACACGAGACACTATTTGCGTCACCTGCATATAATTTTTTCGGATCTTTGTGTAAGTCCACACAAAATTTAATGTTATCCTACAAGGGAAGGCTACAATAGATGTTCTGAGTCACAATGGTTGTTGGGACTTACTACCCGATGCCACCCACACCAAAAAAAGTATGTACTCATCTATGTACATACTTTTTTTGGTGTGGGAGGATATGTCTTATCTATGTACGTAAGAAGTTATACTTCTTTAGCATAAAGACATTATACAATTGATAACGGTTTATTTAAACAACTAGGAATTATTGGCAAATGTCAAAAACTTTTAATTTGTTTGTTAAGATTAAAATGGTTACCAAGCATCACCATCTTGTGAGTCAGGTAGCCGGGGCCCACTTTATTATAAGGTGGCAACGCATATGCAATCCTACGCGTTTTGCAAATGTCCATGGGCGGCGTTTGTCACTTTCCATCAGGTGAACGGCCAGCTCGCTTGGCACGTTCTCACAAAAAACAAAGAATCATGTCGACTTCTGGGGGTCGGTGTGCGCGTACATTTTTTTCACTCTCGTAATTTTTTCCAAACGCGCCAAAAGAAGTACATATAACTTAAAAAATAATAAAAACCATTCCAGCTGAAGGCGTCAGTGCGCACAGCGTTGCAGTCGCTCCCTACGCCGCGCAACGACTACGAGATCGTAGTTCCCGACGAGAGCGACGAGCCGACGGAGGCGTCCGGTACCATGGATTCCGTAGAAGACCAAGCAGACACCGACGCTCGGATGCTGAAGGAGCAGGAAGCAAAACGTTAGTCCTCAGCCTTTCTGTATGATGGCCTATTTACCCTTTTCCCCTACCTTGGTCTATTATCTGTGCGGTACCCTTTTCTCCTTTGTGTATAGTTAGCGGGATTCTTCAGCCAGATTTTCATCACATTAAAACTTAGTAAATAAAAAATCGTAAATTCCTTTATTTCTATATAATTGCTTATGAAATATTCATATATCAATTCAATCACATTGTTTTAAGCCATAATTTAACTATTTATATAGATGCTACAACCTTAAAAATCTTTTTCTTTTTTCATATTAAGATTGGAAACAATTGCTTTTCGATTTGATTTATCTCTAAATATCTATTTTAGAGTGTTATCATTATTGTATAACATTATTGTACTTGTATTTATGGGAGAGGGAAGGGACGAAAGATCTATTGTAGTCTTCTTTCGTAAGTATTGCCCTAGTAGCAATAGTCTCCTAGATTTGACGAAAATTCTTTAGTAAAGGCTTTGGTCAAACCTGGGTCAAAAGAAAGTCATTCCGGGAAGGGACCGCATATCGACCTGTGCCTATAACACACAAACCCATCGCTTCGCAGGCGCGGCGGCGCTAGCGCTCCGCTCGGCGGCGGTGCAGCGCGGCTGCGTGCGCCCGGGCGACGTGAACGCGGCCGTTCTGCGCGGCGGCGGCGCCCTTAGCTCGCTGCAGCACGCGGAGGAGCTGCTCAAGGCGGAGATGCTCACGATGCTGCACTACGACGCGCTCCACGATCCGCCCAACGGTGTGGCACGCCCCACTAGATACTGACACGCACACGCTCGCTGGTTCTTTGAACTCGACAATAAAGTGTCAAGATTTTTATCGCTCCTTCAATCGCAACACAGTGTTAATATTTTGCTGGCTAATTTTAGTTTTATTTAGTTTTACCTTAAATTGGTAGGTAAAATTGTGTACCTTCTCTCTTTAATTTAAGAGCTAGGCTCTTGTTGGTGCAGCATCCCAGTAGACATCATAGGTTGCTGCTGTTTTGAGGAATTGAATAGTGCAGTAGTTTCCTTCTTGCTTTCCGCAAATTTCTTGTATACTTAATGTTGTGATAGTTATGATTATAATTAGATATGTATGTAGAGCCGTGATAGCTCAGTGTCCAGGGGGTTGTTTTTAATTGTATTTCTTTTGTAATCATGCTATACTCTATTCAGTTAAGCAGACCTAATAAAAATAACCAGCCTAGTGCGACTCGGACTTGCCCACGAACGGTTTCGTATATAAATAAAATTAATAACGTTATCTATAAAAACAGCCAAAAAAATCATTTCTGGTGTATGGGGAGCCCCACTTAAATATATTTTATACTGCTTTTTACTATTTTTTATTATAGCGGCTACAGAAGTACAACATCCGTGAAAATTTCATATATGTAACTGTCATGCTTCTCTTATGAACTGGCAGACAGATAGACAGATAGTAGATACTTAGTAATCATTTACCCTTTGGGTACGGCAAAGGGTAAAATGGGAGCCAAAAAAAGTACCTACTCCAGAACATGCTAAGTGCATGTGCTAAAGTGCACAGGTTGTGCAGGAGTTGTTTTAAAATTTGATAGAATAGGTTGCAGTTATTTCCATTTTATTATTTTAATTTAATAGATAAAAGGAGATTAATCAGCCGAGAAGAAAAATAATATTATTGAATACATTTTCACATTGTGTTACAGGTGTAGACAAAAAGCGTTCAGTGCAATTGCAAGCTTCCCATTTAGCTTACCTTGAACAGCACCCATATGAGGAATTTACCGCTGATGAATTGTCGGAGGCGAAACAAATTTTGCAAAAAGAAATGGAAGTCGTAAAAGCGGGCATGGGACATGGAGAGCTCAGTATTGATGCTTACACACAAGTGTGGGAGGAGTGTCTTGCTCAGGTGAGATATTTTCCATTGATTGTTTGTATGATATTGTCCCATTTGTCATTTAAAATAATCCTTCAATAGTGTTAGTTGCATTGACATTTTGATTTAATTTCGTTTCTCAATTTCAGGTACTATTCTTGCCTGGGCAGAACAGATATACTCGCGCTAATTTAGCAAGTAAAAAAGACAGATTGGAATCTGCTGAAAAACGATTAGAACAAAATAGAAACCATATGGCAAAGGAAGCGAAGAAATGTTCAAAAATGGAAAAGAAACTAAGGGTGCTTACAGGTAAATTTTTTAAAATAAATTAAAGATGGAGTAGGCACTCCCGCCCATGAGGGAATATTTAATTTTATTTTTCTAAATACAGGTGGTTATCAAAGCCGAGCGGCCTCTCTTATTAAACAATTTCAAGAGCTTCAAGATCAAATTGAACAATCAAATTTGGAATTGTCAACATTCAAATTTTTGGCTGAACAAGAGAAGGCTGCAATTCCCCGGCGTATTGAGGTAAATACTTTGTATATAAATTATTTTCATATGAAAATTGAGCAGTTCTTATTCACATGAGTTGTTAGCCAGAAATAAAAATTAAACTATATGTATGACATGTTGACCTATTACACCTATCACACTGGGCATAAATGTGATAAGACGCAACACTTTCTCATCAAAACAAGAATTTTCTGACCATGAACAATTATTGAAAGTAATAATTAAATTGAAACAAAATTTCGTTAATTTTACAGTCCCTAACAGAAGACGTAAATCGCCAAACTGATCGTGAAAAGCAACTCCAGAAAAGATATGCAGAGCTTCAATCAGAATTAGAGGACATTCACAAAGGCAAGCAATCAAAAGAGACTGAAGTTAAACCAGTTGAAGAATAATAATTTATTTGTGTTGAAATAACATATTTGTACAAAGAGCCTGTATGAAAATATGATAAAAAAATTGTTTATATACGTGTTTCTATTTGTTGACTATTGTACTTATTATACAGATTAGGAAGGTATACTTCAAATTTAAGATGATAATTTTGACAGCTCATGCTAAGGGTGAGGTGGTGTATAATCGTTATTGAACCTTATTGATTATCGATTACTGTTCTCATACAACATGGATATATTTTTTCGATTGCATTGTTATTTTCTATGGTTAGATTATAATACAAAAACTATATTTGTTTTTTCTAAATTAATAATTTGTTAATATGACTATGAAAGCCCACAACGAAAATTTCGAATATAATCTTAGATTATATTTCACAAACGATAGTCCTTGTTTGTCCGTTATACGTGGTATTCACTTAGCGGGCGAGGCCCATGAAGTACGAAATTAAGTATAGTATAAACGCGAAAAAAAATACAATACTTGATTTCTTGGATGTGCCAAAATTATCATCCTAAATTTGACAAAGGATAATAGCATGCCCATAAAAGACACATAAGTAATTAAAAATAGCATTATAAGACTATCATTGAGTGCATGAATCGCTTTTTAATTTGTTATTTGCATTACAATTTCAAAGTTCAAGTAAGAAATGCAATTTGGAACATGAACTGTATTGAAGAATTAAGGTAGAATTAAATACTTTTTATGATTATATGCACACACCTTTTAAAAATTATCTGACTTATTTACCCTTTTTTATGAACTTTTAATTTCTATTAAAATTCTCAATAACAAAAATAAAGAGAATTGTGTCTGACAAAAGCTAAAAGAAAAGTAAATGTTCATTGTCTTTGTATGCTTAAAAAAGAATGAGTTATAATAAAAATATAAAGAAAGATCACAGTAAATTGTTTTATTATTTACATTAGTATCTTCATACATGATTAAAAAAAGAAATTTGTTATAGCCCTATGGCAACTTATTACAATGACAATAAATATCATAGGAGTTATTTCTAATGCAATATCACAGTCCGAAGAATATTCCAAACCAGTTGGATAATTAACTAGTTCACAGCTAGCTGCTTTCCTCTGAATCACTATTTATTTGTCTTCTAACATTTTTATTTCTTTTTCTAACAACAGGACTATCCCCACTCTCCTGTACATTTATACCTGAACTGACTACTTTTTTTCTTTTCTTCCGTTTCTTAACTTCTAAAAGTTGTTCTGCCAAATCAAGCTCAGAGTCTTCATTTACTTGTGTTAATCCGATGTGTGAGTCTACACAAAAACTGTCCTACAATATGAGGATAAATTACAGCAAAAATTGCAAAATAATAATTAGATAAAAATAAATGATGAGGGCTATGTACCATTTCATAACTATCTTCCTCCACAAATTGGGAAAAAACTTCAACATTATTATGTGTCTTTGGTAACTGAGGTATTTTAAAGACACCTTTCACTGGACTCCTGGAAAAGTTGGTATTAATAGGAACTTTTACATAAAATATTTTTAAGAATAGTTAAATACAGATTTATCATTAGAATGCATAAGTTCACAATAACTAAGGTATATAAAGATAGATTCAGTATTAAAGTGTTGATTCTTGTTACTTTAATGTACAGTTGGGTGTAAAGGTTTATTTGTCTCGCCACAGGGTTTATGTCAAAATTTACGAGCTTTCTAAATAAAAAAGCTTTATTGAGGCAGTAGACTATAGAGTAGTAGGATGGTAATCATATAATATTATGTGATGACCATAACATGAGTTATGTCAGATTCCGATACTTTTAATTCAGTACACTAGAGCAACATGTGTTCTAATATATTTTTAATTGCCATCTTTTTCAATGACACACGAGTTCTGACATCCATACTAGAGTGGGTTGCTTAATGGACCCATTGTGGGTGATGTACATAATAGGCTTTAGCTTTACTTTTTAGACACAGACTTTTACAGTGCTTTGATTGTTTGACGGTTAATCAAAGGCATGTATGATTGGGTAACATTTAAGGACCATTTATACGATGCCATTTTCTTGTACGTAAAAGAGCGATTGAATGCAATGAATTAAGCGCAATAATTGACCATCAAGATAAATAGTAGATAGTGAAAAAATTTCAAACAAGATAGTAGAAAAAATTTCATCAAATAATTGAATGCAAGTCTTGACAAAAAATAATTGTAAATGTCTTATGTTTACACCAGTGCAATTATTGATTAGGAGATTATTGCTTTCAAGTTTTGACTTGTCTAAACACATGCTTGTATGTGCGTTTACCATTTATTGTCGTGTTGCTTCAAGTATTGCATGTTGACAAATTTTTCATTCAAGTTGAACATTTTAAAAGGGGTGTTTATTTAAAACAATAATAATTCAATAATAAGTGTTCAAGTTAAATTCTGCCAATTTAATTTATTTCATGGAGATTTATCAATTTTTTGATCCAACTTTTGTTTACAACCTTTTCTCAATATTTCTTGCCTCAAAAGAACAACAACGATTAAACATCCTCACTCATTGCACTCATGTTTTCAAAGGAAGAGAGAATACAATTGAATACAAGAATTGCTTAAAAAATTATTGTGTGCTGTTTACACCAAGAAAAGTTTTGAAACAAAACTTGAAGCAAAACTTGTTCAATGGTGAAGAATGTTTGTGTGTGTGTGAATGAATGTGTGTGTTTTGAATGAAGAATGTTATGTGTTGTTAAGATCATGCAAGTCATTTATTGCTTCAATTTAATTGTATACAACAGGCAAGAAAATTGCATCATGTAAATGGGCCTTTACGCCACTTCACTTGCTCAATGGTAAGAGCTTTTATAAAATTCATGTGCTGTGTTTTGCAGTTTTATAGTCGCACTAGCAAAATTGTTTCATTTTATTTTTAAATATAAATGCTTGCTTAAATTCGTGGCGTAAATTGTAAATGATCATAGTGAAACTTAAAATAAGCCATCAACATCACATCAAAAAAAAAAATCAAAAAGAATTGCTAATTGTTATATCTTACCTCACTGATCTAAGATAATGTGCATGCATGTCTGCCTCGGTGTGTGTGACATTATCATTATCATCACAAATAAATTCTATAATACTTCCAAGGCTTTCATCCGTTAATTCATCTCCACTATCAACCCCGCCATCATCGGAGAGTTCTGCTTCCTCGTCTAAGAAGTCATTCTTCCTTTTTTTCTTCTGTAAACATTTATAAGAATAAATTGCTTATTAAAATAATATAATACTAAAACGATAGTTTTAGGAAATTTACTAACTTTACGAACTTTATGTTTGTTCATACGATCGCTCATGCTTGCGTTAAGCTGAGATTCATTCCTAGAACTATCCATTTCATTGACAAAATCATCATCACTGTCACTAAAATTTACTTGTCTTTTAGCATTAACCTGTAATTTACTATTCTCGTTTTTGTTGCTTAATTTCCGTTTTGGACTTATATTAACGTCTCGTCTGAAACTTTGCAAGCAACTTATACCATTTTTTCTGATAGATTCTTTCCCGTCTTCAACGCTATGATTATTTTTATGAACATATACTCTCGGATTTTCGTTTTCTTTCTGCGATATCGAACTCGGCGATAGAAACGCACAGTAAATATTCTTTGAATTGTTTAAGTTAGTTTCGTTATTATATGTATTAGTCTTTGAAGTAAAGGCCGCCAATACTTTCTCCTGCAATGTAAGCGGCTTATACTTATCCCCGGTTAATTTTGGTTTTTTGCTAAAATATGGTGACGATGTTGTCTCTTCGTTATCTTCTGTAGAAAATTTTCGTTTATTATTTTTTTGTTGCGTCTCATGAGTTTTGGCAACGTCCTGTTGGTTAGAATTGTCACATATGGTTTTCTCTACACTGTGTATTGGTGGCGTATGATCAGATTCACTATCACTGTCTAAAACAATCAGACTTTCATTTGTCTTCGGCTGTAAAGTAGTACCTTTACTAAATTCATTAGAAACATTTGGCATTCTACGCCTATCCGCTTGAGTTAGCAATATAGGCGAAGAGCTTCTATCGTTTCCGAAATCCTTGAAACCCATTTCAGTACTTTTAGAAACGTTTTGCGATTTAGCTGTAGATATCTCGCAATCAGATTTATTAATCATTTCTACAAGCTGTGTGATAGTGAACATAGTTTTATTAGTGGTGTTTGATATGTAGCTTGGAGTCCAACCTGCGTTATTAGCATTTTTTACTACAATCTGTTCATTTATAGACATGTCGATTACTGAGTCCATATTTAATTGTTTCTTCGCCATACTTACAGACGGATAGTCGCGTGGTTGTGCCTTGCTAGTGCTTAATTGGCGTTTGCGGACTTGACTACAAAGTATTGGTGACGTCGGTTCCATTTCTAACCTCGGCTTTCCGGTTAAAATAGAAGGGCTCAATGGTTGTAGTATTGGGACATTATTAGTATTATCCACTTTTTCTATAGCATTTATGTGGTCCTTAGATTTATCACTACTATTTTCATCGTAATCCGCAAATATATCGTCAATGCTATCCAACCCAAAGAATTCCAAGGTTTCTTTGGGATTACTAGAATTTTTATCTACGATCTGTTTTTCTTTTTCTTTATCGACTAATTCTGGACTGCTCTCGAATATATCTTCGATATCACCGATATCGAAATTCTCTTCCTGTAGTTTTCTGTCATAGTCGACATCTTTCTTTACCGTGTTTTCTATTTCATCAACATTATTTAATTGATATATTTTATTCAATTCATGATTCATATTTTCTTGACTAAAGACGTTAGAATAAATATTTTCATTACCCAATTTAGCACATTTTATAATCGTTTCTGGTTTGACGTCATCTAATAATTTAATGTCCGGTAATTTTAATTTGCCTTTTAAATCGATAGGTGTTCTCGGTTGTTTATTCAAATTTCTTTGTATGTTTTTAATTAAGTTACAATCGCATAGGTTCTGGCAAAGGTAACACTTCTTTTTGATACTAGCATGGTCCAAGCTAAGATCTACAAGTAAATTTATTAGGCGCGTGGGCAAAGTACCTTCGTTTTGAACTCCCAAATCGTTCAGCAGCTTCGTGTAGCTCTTAGTGGATTTAGTTGCGGTGCTGAACAGTGCCCTGATATCGCCGTCCTTCTTAGACGGTGATTTAAAAGTACTCTTCTGTTTCTTCTTGGGGTTTTTACCCTTCTTTGGGGTCAGCGCAACGTTTTGCGTCCTCAAATCTTGGCTCAAGAAGGCTGTGAACGATAAATTCGGCCTTAGTGCGTTTGTTATAACGTCGATTAGTAACACAAGGCATAAATTAGTCCGCTCACCTGGATTTTGTGTCGACGGGGGCAGCTCGAATCTTTTGGCGTCACAATACTGTAAAAGCTCCGTTAGAACCTCGGAATCTTTAGAGTGGCCGATTTTGGCGGTATTTTGCAAAGTTCGCTGCCACTCCAACCACGGCAACAGTTTGTCCGTTTCTCTTGTTTGGATGGGCGAGTGAATCGAATCTAAGACGCGTATATAATCAAACGTTTAGTCATTTGTATATGAACAGTTATATATGGCATGGTCCAAATCTTTATTTTATATTGATAAATACTTACAAATGAATGCACAAAAAATATTTTTTTTTAATAGAAGAGTGAGATATTAGAGTTACCTTTATTCCGACACCAATAATCTAACGGTTTATCTTCGGGTTCCATGTACGGATATCCGGATGGAAATATTTCCTTGAATTCTTCCTCAGTAATTAGATGTTCGCTTTGACCGCTGTGGCTCCTACGATTACTTGTGGATTGTTTAAACATATTCCTTAAGTCTCTTTGACCCTGGATTGTGAAAGTATAAATCAATGTAAGACGTATTCTGATTATTGAAAGGTCGCTATAACTTCGGCTGAATATAAACAAGGTTATGTCCGAAGTTTATTCAGTTGATGACTGCATGGACACCCAGATTCCTATTTTTATAAAATATAATACTAACAAAGTGTACTGTTAACTGTAAGTAAACTGTCACAAGTCTTAAGTATTCTCGAAGAACAGATCTCATAAAGCGTACGTGAGTTATCAAATTCGATGATTTGAAATGAAGAGAGTTTGTATACAAACTGATTTGTAATACCTTTTTGGTGCTGGCCGCTGTCTCTCTAGTCCTGTTCTTAGGTTCCGCTTTTTGTGCAACCGTTATGTACATCTTCTGGCATTCGGGCATGAAGTCGCGCGGCACCATCCTGGGATTCGATTTATAAAGGTTGTTGCTAACCTCCCGCGATTGTAATATTTTGCTGTTAAGCCCGTCCCTCTGTCTCATACAATCCAATAGCGTCTGCAACCGTCAAGGTTGATTTTTTTTTAAATTTAATGGACAAAATCAAACATGATTTTTGCGACTAGAATAATTTCATTATAAGTAATTAACAACTATAAGTCTATACGACAATGAGTTTTTTCTCATTGGTCTCGGACTTGCTAAACGAGTGATTACCGATATATTTGATGAGTTTGTATCTTATGAATATCTTGAAGAGATAGAATTAAAATTTGTAGAAAAAAGTACGTAAATTTTTTCGCCGCTGAGGGAATCGAACCCAGGTTTTCGGTATTCGCGCACTGACTCTGTAACCACTAAGCTAAACGGCTGATGCGACACTGACGAAAATCTCAACGTCTTTTACATACTTAATCATAGTTATTCACCTGATGTTCCCGTCCTTCGGTAACTAGAATAAAAACTTGACCGCCTCGTTCTCTCCCAGTGCGGCCGCATCTGGAATAATGCAGATATTAAAATATCATCATATTATATGCGAATATATATATATATATATATATATATATATATATATGAATAAAACAAGAATAGTAATCAGCATCGAAATTTTGAATACTTATATATACTTACGGCAATTATTGATCGATGATTACTGTGTTTTGATTTTTTTTGTATCAAAAGGTGGCAAGTGAACTGGCAGTTAACCTGATGTTAAGTGATAACCGCCGCCCATTGACATTTGCAACACCCGTAGGTTTGCGGATGCATTGCAATATTTTAATAAAATGGGCCCGCTAAATGGGCTAGCTAACAATATTATTTGAACTGCCAGCTCGTTTGTCAACCCTAATAAATAAAAATAAAAGTCTGAAAAAGATGATACATTTTTCAACTACACCATATGACCGTATTAACAACTAGTCTGGATTAGGTCGTATTAACACAATTTGGTACATCTAGATGATTGTTCGGAACTATGGGGGACAGCCCCGCCAAGCTGAAATGACAGAAAGTATGTCGAGAGGAGCTCGATGAAAAATACACTAGTGTTCTTAACGATAGAGGAACAAGAGATATACAGGTTGATTTTTATAGATCAGCGAGTACATATTAAGATAGCATAAGCAGAATTTGGTTCTTAATCTGAATCTGGTACCTGTGACCTCATTTTTTTAATGATTATTTTTAATTTTTTCAAACATTATGGACACCGTATTAGAAATTCCTGCTTTACCGTCTCAATATAATAACCTATTCACGAGCACTAAAACGTTCGCTGAACGCATAATTACTAAACCGCTTATTAATAGGGTAACCACTCTTAACGCGATAAACAAACAAACAATGTTTGAATTGATATTTTTCTGGTTATTTTTTGTCAAAATAAAATATTATTATTTTTTTTGAATTATGAATGCTCAATTAACATGATGTCAAAGTATGTACTTCGTCTAAAAAAATCACCCTGTAGTTTTGATGACTTGACTCCATGGAGCAGTTGACAAGGATTCCCACAGGGTACGGCGTGACCAACTGATAATTGTTTCGCATCTGGGCGTTTGTCCACGTGAAATGTATCCATGCGGAACGTCCTTACACTAATTATTTAAATGATAACACACCGTGGAAATGGAGTTATCGCTCCAGGCTCTTTCAATTTGACTTCAATATATTAAGTAAACATGTCTTTTTTTAATTGTAAAAAGAAAAAAAAAGTCCCGCTGAGTTTCTTTCGCCGGTAGTTCTCGGGTCAGTGGCTTTTCTTTCCGAACCGGTGGTAGCGTCTTGCCAATCAATCAGTAAGTGTAATGCTTCTACATTGAATAAACGTATTTGATTTGGTTTGAACACAGGATTGAGTTATCAGTACAGCGAGGGCAATGTTTAAAAAACAAATAGTGGGACAGACGACCCACCTTTGGACTAGGCGGATTGGCGAGCGCGTTGAGATGTCGAAGCAGAGTATGAGATCGACTGAGCCGACGTCGAGCCCCTCCTCGGCGACGCAGGTCGCCACCAGCGTGTTGCACAGACCCTCGCGGAAGTTGCGCATCACACGCATCTGCTGCTTCTGCGACACCACCGTCCGGCCGTCCTTGCCTGCCGCGATAAGCTCGCCGTTTAATCGGAGGTGTTGGGTTGTTTCGATCCGCTTGGGAGCGGCGGCAAGCTTATCGTCGCATAGGATCGGAGCCGTTGGGTTGTCTCTACTCAAGTGTGAGCCGCGACAAGCTTATCGTTGGATAGTATCGGAGGCGTTAGGTTGTCTCTATTCAAGTGTGAGCCGCGACAAGCTTGTCGTCGGATCAGATCAGAGGCGTTAGGTTGTTTCAATTCGCGTGGGGGCGGCGATAAGCTTATCGTCAGGTCCGATCGGAGTCGTTAGGTTGTGTCTATCTGCGTGTATTGTTAGCTTATAATATGACAATATAATTCACAAAGTTATTTAGCCATTTAATTTATTTCAAATTTACATTTTTATGGTAGAGCACAACGGGAGAAATAACTTTTAAAAAAACAAATACACCCCGTGCCCCTTCTATATTTCCTCGTAAGTCCTGCAGAACGGATTTTAATGAATATGTTGTCCTAACAAATTATTAAGAATATAATTATAAACAAAGTTTTTCAAAATGTCTTTTTGTGGCTTTTGTGTTTGTCTCCGTGCGCTTACCAGAGGCGCCCTGTCCTACGAACATGAGCGGCGCGATGAGGGGCCGACACTGCAGCAACAGGCAATGCACCAAATTCACGCTCTCGCGATACTCGCAGAACACTGCAACGGAATTGGTGATTACGTTTCACTGTGTATAAATGACGAATTTGACGTGTATAATGTATATATGTGCAAGCTATTCGGTCAAACTGTAGAGTGAAAACCGGAAAGTGAAGTTTTTTTTATTTTTTTTATGTGAGAAGCTGGCAAACATAAAAGTGAAGAAAACAGGAAAAGGAAGTTTTTTTTTAATTTTATTTATGTGAGAAGGTGGAAAGCAAGCTGGCGGTTCACCTGATGTTAAGTGAGTTGTGAGGTGCAACCAACAGATGCGTTACCATCTTATAAAGTAGGCACCGGCTACCTACCGGTATGACTCACCCGGACGGACCTTTTTTTTTCGTGGGAAAAATCCTTTATGGATCCCTTGCCACTGTATGGGAGAAGCGGCAGGGGTATGTGGGAGTCCCGTTAAAAACGGCTACCCATTAAAAAACCCAAGTTGTCCACCTGTCTCTGTCGCATCAACCGGGGACACGGGAGCACGTGAACGCCTCCTCTACTACATAGTGCTGTACCCGTGCAATTAGCACAGCACACGTCACGTATTAAACGCCCCATATTAAACGACAGACACTCCCACCCGGACGGACCTGCCCAGTGCCCATTCGTGCAACAGCCGAAGCTGTTGCGAGACCCTACCATAGTAAAAAAATGTCGAGTTGGGCTGTTTACTTTGAAACGTTTTGTCGAGTTACTATATTGTGATTAGGCATTAACATTTACATAACAGATTCATGCATAAATTAGTCTAAATGTATTACCGATTGCCCTCGTATCTAGGCCAGATTGCTTTGCCTTTTTAAAGTGCTCCAGCATTATTTCCTTCAGCTTGTAAAATTTCGGGTGACCGAAACTTAAATTCTCGGGCATCTGAAACAATATGTTTAGATAGAGAGAGATGATAAGGTAGAATTTTTAAGATTTAATACTTAGGAAATCTTCCCTGTTTTGATGGTAAAATGGTAAATAGAAAACCCGGAAATAAATAGATAATAAAAAAAATAAAGAACCAATGCGTTTAATTTTTTGTTATATTCTGGGTCATGGTCTCCATAGACACAGCACCATCTACTTCAGGTCGATGGACATCGAACACATCGTTCTGTAGACTAGTTTTATGCTATTACAGTAGTTACAGATGGCTTTGACTTACCTCGGGTATAGTTCCATCGGGCAATATGCTCCGATCCAATGACAAGGGGTTAACGCCAAGGTCGTCCCTCAGCCTCTCCAGCAAGCCCACGAGCCTGTTGTCAGATTGGATCCAGGACTTCTCCGGGTGCTCGTCGAAGAAGTTGAGGAACACGCGGGAGCCGTGCCTCACAAGCAGTTCCAAGCCATGGAACAGCGCTATCAATAGTGTGAAGTCTTTCATTATGACGTTGTGTTGCGGGTGACTAAAACATCAAACATAAATGAATAAAGATTTTAAATTTTATGATACAGCGTGATATTGGGACATTTAATATGTCCATTTAGGAACAAATTTGGAATAAGTTCACCCTCAAACAACTACATACACACATTATGGTCATGCACTTTTTATGTGTTAAACGAACACATTTCATGTTATACATACCGAGCACCCCTTTCTTTACATTGAAATTCTTTATACAACATGACCACGCGTCCTTTAGATAGGTTGCCAAGGTTTTGAGGAAGAATATTTAATTGTTTTAATCTACGAGCGTAATCATCCAATATCTGAAAACATTAACATATACACATTAAAATTAATTAACAATAAATATTAAGTTAAATGTACCCAATCCTCACTATTTTAATTAAATACTTACGTAATGAAATAATTATCCAAGTAGTGTTAAGTTTAACTTATGTGCAAAGCAAGCAAACTGTTTTACTCCTACGGTTTACTTCCTTCTATAGGAGAAAAATATATAATCTCACCTCAACATACTGCAGCCGTAATTGTGTTAGTTCTGGCCCCAACTGTACTATAACAGTGTTAATTTTTCGTGAGTGGCTGTATGGAGCAACGTCTATACAGTTCTCTGTACGTAATTCCAAATGAGCTATGTGTAAATTTTTCACTACCTGTAAAGTGTTTTTCGTTACTACGAGTGAGCAATATTTTATTTATTACACTTGTGCAAAGTAGACTATTGTAAAATTGTTTTGACATTGCACTCAGTGATTTTTTTTATGTGAGAAAGTGGCAAAGGAGCTGGCGGTGTACCTGTATAACTTTGAGGGGGAAATCGACTCAAGAATTAAGCTATGTTGGGGTGCATTCGGCAAACTTCGTCAAGCCCGTACGTCGTCAATTCCAAAGTCCATTAGGACAAACGTCTAGAATCAGTGCATCCTACCATTCATGAACTACTTGATTGATGACAATGAATACTAACGGTGCGTCTGGTCTACATTTACAAGCTGAAATTGGATCGGCGAGTCATGGAATCACTCGGAAGGAGATTCGAAATTAGGTAATTCGACAGTGAACCAAGGTCATCGACATAGCTCTACTAGGGAAGTAAGCTGAAGAGACAGGTCAATGACTGGTAACATTGATCACAGAACCCACAGTCAATGGAGCAGACGAGTTCTTGAGTGGATATCGCGTTTAGGCAAATGTAGCATAGGACGACCTCAGGCCAGATGGAGTGACAACCCTGGACACTAAGGACGCAAGTCATATGGTGTTATTGGAGAGGCCGACGTCCAGCCGATAAGTAAAAATTGATAATTGTATAAATTGCGAAAACCTGCTGGGAAGTGAAAAAAATGTAGACGTATTAGCTCTCCAACTGAGTATAGCTGGTAGAATCGCAATCTATAGATATATTTAAAATAAATGGTTAATTGTCTTACCGTAATTACATCGTCAACCTTACTACCCGGAGTGGCTGATAGAGCTAAGAGTCTGTAAGTTTTGTGGCCCATTTCGGTCAAAGTGGATACTATCTGGCAGTAGGCATAGTTCCCACGTGCTCTATGTGCCTCATCAATGACCAAACATCGTATCTTGTCGCCAGGACATATGCCAGATTTGATATCATTATAAATAACTTGTGGTGTAGCAAAAAATACCCTTTTTGTTTCCCAGTGTGTCTTCCTTGTATTCACTTGCATATGACCTGATATCAAAAAGCATTTCCAATCATTCTCAAAAAAATTATTTAATTTTATGAAACATACATTTTTTTAATTAAGTGATTAATTTTATTTTTAACATTCACTCAAGATAAAACTAAAGTGTTTATTAAGTTTAACCATTTATCTACAAAAAATCACTATATAAGTGTTTTTTTAGTATCTTTTTAAATCTTCTTCTTTCTCCTGCTCTCGTCAAATATTATAAAGCAAAAATAAATTTTTATTGCTGTTCTGTCCAGCAACATTCATTATAAATTAATATATATTACAAGTTATGTAAAATTGATTTTCATCAGTTGTAGTTATCAGAATATATTAAAATTACTGTCCTTTGATATTAAACATTGGGCAGTCTTTAAATGTTATAATTTGTGAATTTACATGGGTCAAATATTACTTACATTGAAACATAATTTACTCTGTAAAACTCACCAGTCATTTCAATTGTGTCTTTTGGAGGTATGGCTATAATGTTATAGCAGGCATCTATCTGTTGCGCAACAAGAGGTCTGGTGGGTGCAGTAAAAACTATCTTGCCAAGGGGATACCAGCGGTAAAAGTTGTACATAATAACAGCTGCTATAAATGTTTTCCCAAGACCTGTTGGTAGACTTACCTAATAAAAAATTATGTTATTGTGTCATTACTACACATATTGTTTTATTTATAACATAGAATAATTCAGACAATATTGTTTTCAAAGTTAAATTAATAATTCTAAATAAATATATAATAAATAATTCTGAAGAATAATCTTTAATGATGTGTTCGTTTCGTAAAGTGAAAAAGAGGTTTTTTTCTGTTAGCATAAAATTTTTCAACCGCAAATCTACTGAATAAGCTGCTAAACAGTTACCACAAATACTACTATTTAATAAACAAATATACTAACAAGTGTATTCTTTAAAATAGAGGCTTTGATTATATTGAATTGGTAATCTCTGACAGGATAATTGGTAGGGTAAATCCATGTCTTTCCTGTCAATTTATCATATCCACTTATTTCTTCATCGCAGCATAAAGCACTGCAAGTGAAATAAAATGTGAAAGTCAACACGTTCTTAAGTCATTTAGTCATTCTTTAGTCAAATTTTATCCCTTGCTTACCTAACGTTCAACGCGCTAGTGTTATAGGAGCTAGCTCTAAGTTCATTGGCAAATGTTTCATCTCTGAAAGCAGAATTCTCAAAATTTGCCAGCAATGACGTATCGTTAAACACTTCATCTTCCTCATCTAAACTTATTTCTCGACTATTCATGTTTAATGCTCTATTTAGATAAAATATAAAAGTAAGAAGTACGTAACATTATTGTGTGTAATCTAAAATGTATAAAGCACGATAAAATAATCGCATCTAATTATAAACACAAATAGAATCTAAAACTTATATATCTCATTCTAGTATCGCTATATATTATTATTATAAACAATCAAGCAAGCTCCTTCAAACTTTAATTTATTTAATAATTAATAATGAATTGTTGTTGATATTTGACTTTGACAGCTAATCTTTTTTTTTTGGATTTTACGGCCCGGTATCAAGGACCTTTAGGCCGAGACAGCTAATCTAATGTGAGTTGTGAGTGTTGTGACAGAATATACAACCTTGAACCTTCGTCGGTTCTATGTTGGCATTTTTGTTGTTTTTAACTACCATGGCATTACATTATTTATATACTGGGTTTATTTTGAAGAAACTTTTTATGTTTTCTGAAAGTCACTCTTGGGCCTTGGACAAATATAAAATAATTCAGCTCCAATAAAAACCTTTGCTGCTCTAAAACGATACATCGAAAATATAAAATATCGATGTATTGATATTATTTCAATAAGGCTTGCCAACTTAGGGCTTTTGGCCCAAAGGCGGAAATATGCATATTGGCCTTTTTTTATGACCCACAAAAGTTTAGGGCCATGAATCACTATTTTGACTGAACAAAGTGAAGAAAAAAATCAAAATGTCTGTTGTGGTTTTTTGTTTAATAGGTAATTTGTAATGAAAAGTAATTAAAACTACGTTATATTTTTTATTTAACGTAAAACTCATTTAAACCTTTTCTTTGCATACAATATGGGGTTTTAACTGGGACTGAAAATTGCATTTAGGATTACCTGCTTAGGGTTTTATCTTGAATGGCTATATTTTATATTTATATTTGCTTAGTAGTTGGTAGCATTGCAAGTCAGGATAGGATTTTGTACTGCAGTCAAATTTTTACTATAACTTAATGCTTCGTACTATGTACTATCCATATCTAAGGGAAGTACGGAAAAATACTACAATTTCGTTAATTAACATTAATGATCAATATAAATGCCAATCCAACATTAAAAAAGGTCACTGGGTTGTAATAACGTTGTAAATTTTAAAATTTGTAGAAATTAAAATTTGTAGAAAAGAAACGTTGTATTTCAAACAGTACAAAGTGGACCTTACTTTTCAATGTTAATGTCAATTATTACCACGGATCAAAAATGATAAACAATTTATTTATCCAACAACATATTTATATAAAAAAATGAAATCTATCTCAACTACATATTATATAATAAACCTAATCCACGAGGCATGGTGCCAAGAACTCTAGCTGTATTTCCTCGCTGAATAGTTATATTTAACCTTTGAGCGAGAAAAGACCCAGCCCTCTTGTCACACGCGGCGTTCACGGCGTCCACGGCGTTAAGCCTAGGACGTAAACCTTAAAAAAATTCGATGGATTTTTTGACTATAAGTAATGTTTATCAATTAATTATTTACGGGGACTTCCCGTTAAATACACTTTTTCTTTCGATACTTTGTTTGTTGAAGAGTTACTTTGCATAATGCACTATGAGATAGGTAATAAAGTTTATAGATGTCTAACAATACGACTAATTTATTAGTTCTTAAACTAAGAATAAAGCTTTTTAATTTCTTGTATTTAATCTTAATAATTTATTTCATATAGTAAGAATAAAACTGATAAGTAATAAACACTACTACTGATTTTATTCCTACTGAAGATATTTTTTTTATGTCAGAAGTTGCCAAACGAGCAGACGGTTCACCTGATGTTAAGTGAATACCGCCGCCCATGGGCATCTGCTATACTCGAGGGTTCCAGATGTGTTGACAACCTTTTTGGAAATTGGGCTCCGGCCACCTCACTCACCAGACGAAACACGAAAGTATTATACTTTCACTTTACGCCGGTCTTCTGTGAGGTCGTGGTACTTACCGGACCAGCCTGCTCATTCGTACAGCTGCCGAGGCTGCTGCGTGGCCCTACCACCGTAAATGAGAATAAATTCTAAGGATGAAACTAATATCGGGGAATTTATACTTGGAAAAGTAGTAAATTAACACTTGTTAAAATCAAAATTATAAAGTATACTATAATTTTTTTAACAAATACTATCCTTTTACATTTTTATACTATATTTTTCATCATACCTGAATCCAACCCTGATGCAACAAGCCTATCTGTCATTTCTGTATTCTGTCAAATCAAATAACTCAAAAAAACTCTTGTGTTTTTATTTAATGTTATTGATTTTTATTAAGTCTATGTAGGTAATATTTATAAAAGGTAGGCAAGTTGTAATGGAATTAGAAGATGGTTTAGATGATTTGTTGGCCGAAATTGTTGAACCGACCTCCCCTAAGAGACCTAGAACAGAGCAAGATGATTTAAATTGTGAAATACCAGGTATTTTCAAAATATTTTGTGTTGTCAATATTTACTTGTAGGTGGTTGTGAATGTTGTGATAAGTTCTTTAAGTATCCTGTATCATTATAGTTTCCGTAATGGTAGTAGATAAAAAATATTGAAAAACCCAAAAAAAGAGCTTTGCCATATTTGAATGTTTTGAACGATGATATATTAATACCTGATATATTAGGTCAGTCAATAAGTTCGTGCGTATTTGTTTGGTTAGCTATACTATTAAATATCGCGCAATAATTCATTAAGATGAACAACAGTTTGTAAACCACTTTGGCGACAAGTAGACAATTTAAAGTATTTCTGAATATGGAAAACAGTGAAGAATGCAAACGAAATATTTAATATTTCTTTTTTTAAAGTGGGGAAAACGCTACCAAGGCCGCCGAAAAATTAAATACTATGCATGGTGATAATTTCATTTCTGTAAGAACTGCACAAAAGGGGTTTTAGAAATTCAGTACTGAATGCCGCATTCTATATTGAAAAATTTGTTAGGCTAAACTCAGAACTGATTAAAAACGCCCAGCTTTAATGAACAGGAAACAAGTTATATTACACCGCAAAAACGCCAAACCACATACGGCTAAATCAGATGTACAAAAAATTAAGGAATTGAATTGGGAAATAATGCATCATCAGCAAAGAATTGAAAAATGCAACTTTTGATTTAAGGGCGGCATATTTTGTTCAAATGTGTGTCTGTGTGTGTGTGTTTAATTTAAAAGTGAATTTAGCCTTACAACAAACTTAAATTTAAAATCGACGTCCGTCAAGTTATGGTCTGAAAAAAAAAAAAAAACACCCCAGGGGTGTTTTTTTGACCTACCCCTGGGGTGTTTTTTAGACCACGGAGGCATGGAGGGAGGGCAGTCCCTTAGTCTGTGAAATAGGCGCAGTCATTACGCGACCAACACGGGGCGAATGATCGCCTGTCACTTTTTTACGCAAAGCCGAAGGGGCTGCTATTCCCGGTAATTACCCCCTAAGGTGGGTACTCCACCCCCCTCCATCCCCAAAATTACCGATTTTAAAGCTTTTATTGGTATAAGCCAAAAATAAATATTTCTTTTTTAAAAGAGGTACGTTCCGCCGCAACTGGCGTAGACCACGACACGTTCTCGACTTCCCTGACGATGAGGTGACTATCGCCATCGATAGGATAAAACAACTACGTAAAGTCACAAAAATATATCGCCTATACTCCGCATCCGCCACGTGCCGGGCAGGTTTTGCCCCGTTAATGATAGAAGCATTGTTGAAGTTTCTTCCGCCGCTTCTCCCAACGCCAACGCTTTTCGAACTGGTAGTAATGATAACCTTAGCAATTCTAGTCAGACTACAGCTACCGATCGAGCTGAGGTTTGACTCTATCGGGCACCTTCAAATCGGAATGTTAAACGGGTATGGAGTTACAGCCCAAGCTGAGGTCCCCTCTCGTGAACGTTGAGCCTAGTCACTCCATGGAGCTTTGTCGTCTCCCAAAACGGTGAAAATAATAATAATAGCGTGACGGCCCGCTCAAGCTTTGACCATAAATCGAAGTACGGGCTAGGCGCCCTTAGCGCCCGGTCACCTCAAGCCTGATGGATCTGTAAAGGAACCTAAGGCCAACAGTGGTTGATCCAGCCAAAAATTCTTACCCGTCACATCTTTATAATGGCCCTCGTCAATGCAGAAAGTTGGGGCAAATATCCCTTTATGGCCAACCGCTCCCCTGGGAGAAAAAGTCAAATACTTAGGAGTCACTTTCGACTCGCGTATGTCATTTACTACGCACATTAATAACGTTCGCAATAGAGCCGCGTTCGTCTCCGGCCGGCTACACAATTTAACTAACGCTAAAAGTAAAATGCCCTTAAGGCACAAATTATTATTATATAAGACCTGCGTACGACCTATTATGTCTTACGCATGCATGACCTTCGCCCACACGCACCTCACTCGCTTGTACAAGTTGCAAATAGTACAAAATAAGTTCATCCGCCGCGCAACCGGTGCGCAGTGGTATCAACGCAACGTCGACCTGCACAGCGATTGCAGACTCCCGAATTCGCGAATATTTTAAAGACCTGACCAAACGGTTCTTCGATAGAGCCGAATATCATCCCAACCCTCTGGTGGTAAGCGCAGCAAATTACCAACCCGACCAAAATGCGAACGTCAACAAGCGTCGCCCGCGAAACGTCCTAATCGACCCGGTCGAGGAAGGGGACTTAGACACGCCGGACCCACTGCCGGGGGTCCCGCCGGACAACACTACACCCACAGTTAGTGCAACAACAAACACACTAGTTCTCACCGCCCCCAGCCACCGATTAGCTAATTGCACAGTCGACGGCCATCGGGGTTTCGGTCCGAACCACGACCTCGATGGCCCTTAGATGACGTACCATAGTTAAACGCACGCATGAGCACATGCGTGGCCCTACCCACAGCGGAGGGCCCAAACCCTTGGGTTCTGGCTAGCCCACTGGTTCTGCGTCAGATGAAGCTTTAATAGTCTCGGGACTGAAAGCAAAAACATCAGTTAATACAAGATACAAGATCCAGCCAAAAACAAAATTTGTACTATGAATACTAGATAACTGGTAAACATATTTAAACATATTTTTCTTTCAACAATATAATTATCTTGTCGATTTAGTAGAGCACTCAGCTTGCAAGCAAACATGCAAAGTGTCATTTTTGGGTACCTAGTAGAGGATTTCATTATGTTTTTGAAGAGTTCTGTATGGTTCTTGGTGTTACTTATTTTAATTTTGTTTTAGGAATTTCAAAGGAAATTTCAAAACCAAATTCTTCAAAAACACATTGTGTATTAGTAAATCAGAAGCAGGTAAGCAGCTACTGCATACAAATTACAATTTACATTTTAATTCAATATACATTTCATTATTCAATTTCAAATTTGTTACATATGTTTCAGCGAGGTAATCCTCTATTAAAGTTCATTACAAGTGTTCCTTGGGAATATGATGATATACTTCCAGATTACGAGATAGGCAAGACCATTTGTATTCTTTTTCTGTCTGTACGCTACCATAATTTGAACCCAGACTACATTAATAACCGATTGAAGGAATTAGGGAAAAAGTATGAATTACGGGTTCTTTTAGTACAGGTAAAAACTTATGATTTATTTTTTTTTATTTTTGATAAAATAATAGATATAATAAACTTATACCAATTGTTATCAGTGACTGGTTCTTCTCTGCAATTTTCATTCACACTTTTGTGCATTTAAATTTTATGGCTAAAGTCAGTCTTGCAGTTCTAAGTTAAGTTTCCCTAGTCATCCCATATTATATGGAGTGGAAGAACATTTTTCTCAATGCAAGTCGAAGCTCGCGTGGCCGCAGTTGGACTCGCAAAAAGAGCATTATCCAACTAGAAATTGAAAAGCAAAAGTAAAGCTACAGCCTATAAATATCCCACTGCTGGGCAAAGGCCGTTTGTGTAGAAAGGAAATAATCTTCCACGCAGCCCCAGTGTGGATTTGTCGACTTTACATATTTTCGAATTTTTTTTTTACCATTTCGAGAATAAGTAGGTTTCTTCATGATGTTTTCCTTCATCACTGAGCAAGTAATGAGTCCGGACTTTGAAATTAACAATTTAATTGGTTGTTCAAATATAATGAAAGCAAGTGCCCGGTCAGTACCTGGTACTTTTGATGAATATTTGGTATTAAATTTCTATTGTCGCAAGACTGACTAGGCTTTAATACATAATCCAAACTTTTTTTTTAACAAAAATCAAAAGCTTGAAAAGATTTAGGTTTGAGGTTATAAAAAAAATACATCAAATTGAGATCCCCTCATTTTTGAAGTTAGTACAAAACATATTGGCCATTTTGTTTTGAATGGCATTTTGGGAATTGGTTTATATTTCTATTCTTGTTAGTAAACTATTAAATTTTTTTTAAATTGTAGGTTGATTTGAAAGATCCTCATACAGCACTGAAAAATCTTACGAGAGTCTGCCTTTTAACGGACCTCACACTTATGCTAGCATGGAGCCCTGAAGAAGCAGCTAAAATAATAGAAAATTACAAAATATTTGAGAACAAACCACCTGACCGGATAATGGAGAAAATTGAAAATGATCCTCAACAAAAGGTATGTTTCTTATATACTTGTTATATTTAACTTAAGTAATTGTAGTCAGTTCCACAAGAAGATGTATGTATTGTATATAACATTTAATTTGTTTTCATGTAACAGAATATCAAATAAAAATAATTATATAGCCTATGTCCGTCTAGTAATTGTAACTACGTAATAATGAACTTTCAATTGGGAAAATAATTTTTAAAATATCCGCAGACTACTGCAGCCATAGAATTATCCGACGATTTCTCCACATACAATCTGATAAAATTTGCTTATACACGAGCGACATCCCTATAGACACAAATGGAGAATAGACGTAAATCTCAATAATTGTGAAGCAATAAACTTCACTCGGGCATGGTCCGTAGCGTACTCCGTCTTCCCAATGACCCAAACTCGGCCAAGCTCGGGCGAATCACAGTATACGGCCAACCGCTCCCTTGGGAAAAGAAACTCAAGTACCTAGGAGTTACTTTCGACCCTTAAATGACATTCATTACACATATTAAAAACATACGAGACAGAGCTGAGTTCGTTTTGGTTCCGTAACTTAAATAACTCCTCAAGTAACATGCCCTTAACCCCCAAATTATTGTTATACGTGGCTTGCGTACGGCCCATCATGTCTCAGAAATCTGCATAAACTTCAGATATTTGATATTTCGAAATAAGTTCTTCCGCCTTGCTTCCGATGTCAGGAATGAAACAAATGTTTGCGTTTATGTCGGAAGTAACAACCCGACATAAACGCGACCATTTGCAAACGTCACCCGTGCCCGTCCCATGTCCTCATCGGCCTGGTAAAGGAAGCGGACATAGATATCAAATAAAAAAAAATCAAAATCATTTATTCATCGACATAAGAAACTTACATTTAATTTGTCAATAGTCATATTTTTTTTTTAAATCTACCACCGTTTCGTAATGAGGTTCCTCTAGCGGAGAAGAAACAGGCGAAAGAAACTCCGTAGGTATCCTCTTTTTTTTTTTATATATACGGTTTTATATATACGATGGACCGGCCGGGGGTCCCGCTAGTCACCACTATACTCAAAGCTATGTTTGAGTATAGTGGTGACTAGCGGGCGATAGTGTTGACTCTACAAAAAACATTATTAATATAGTCATAAGCGATTAAAAGTATACGTTTGTCTACTACATAAAAAATAGTAACACTATTAACGACAACTTTGAAATCGGTTTTTCTTGATTTTTGTTCACAAAACACATTGATGTATAAATATTTGTCGCTTATCATATAAATCGTTTTCATACTAGATACCATGTTATTAAATATCAAAGTTTTATAACAAAAAATATGCTTATTTCAGATAATAAACGCGCTATCCTCCATAAAGCCAGTCAATAAAACTGATGCCATGACACTGTTAACAACATTTGGAACGTTAGAGAATATTATTAAAGCGACCGAAAGGAGGTTGGCCGATTGTCCAGGTTTTGGGATAACAAAGGCAAAGAAACTATACAGAGCCCTTCACGAACCATTTCTTAAACGAGGACATGTTAAGGAAAAAGAATCAACACAAAGTGAACAGTTTACAGACGAGCTTAATGTGGAAGAAATTGAGAAAGCTGAAAATGAAATTGCCAACCAGCAGTAATATTATCAATTGTAAATATTAAAGATTCATTTATCTATGTTTTTTCAGTTACATGTTTTTAAATCTTATCTGTGATAAATTTTTTATTGATGTTTTCTTATTTTATATTCTTATGTTATCTTATTTTAATCCTACGTATCAATAATAGAGGTAATTCTACTCATAGATTACCCATAGATTTAACTTAAGCTAATTGATTCATTTTTGTGATTATCGTATCTTACGCTTAGACCTCCAATTTAGATTAAATGTTTTTTGAGCGTATAATTTTTGTACAACATAGTTATTTATAAAACTAAAATTTTCTTGAGCGCATGGAGGGAGTGGGTGTCCACCCTCTATGGATTCTGACTGCCAATCGTGATTCCTGTTGACATTATTAGTTCAGGAAATCCATACACAATTTAGCTTAAAGTTAACTACACCCATCGATGTTTTTTTTTATGGAGAAATGCGAGCAGGAGGCCCACCTGATGGTAAGTGATTACCACCGCCCATGAACACCTGCAACACCCGAGGGCTCAAAAATGCGTTGCCGGCCTTTTAGGAAAGTGGCCTGACTTTGATGACTAAAACAACAGTACTATGAACAAGGTGGTGAAGGTGCTGGATGCGTGGACATTTGAAGGCGATAAATTGAAAATGGAAGCATTTTAGTAATTCATAAGGTAAGTGTCAAAACGCGGTGCTAACTTTTATATATACAAGCTTTAGCTTCCGTATGGTTAAATATTTGTTTATAACATAGTATTGATTACGGAATACAGAAAAAAGTTTTCTCTATTCTGTTTTCTCTATCCCGTGTTATTGATCAGGAGAGTGATATAACAAATTATTATGCTTTTTATTACCAAGTTCCAACGGAACCAAAAAAAAAAGCTATAGCGAAGCGTGGCCGGGTTAAGCTAGCTGTTATTTAATCAGTTTGGATGGGATAAAAATTAAAAAAAACCTAAAAATGCAGCGTTCCTAGTTTGACATTGATAAAATCTTATTCTTTCAATCAAATAGTCGATTTAAAATTAAGAACTAAAAATTGAAATAAAATTGTATAACAGACGAAACGTTGTATATCTTAATATTCATTACTAAGAATATACGGAAAAAATCTTAATTATTTTATTTATATACACCAGTAAGTAAAATCATAAATAATGTTGGAAACATACGAAACGAATGAATGTCTTCATTAAATTAGGATAGTTATATTGGACTATGAATTGCTACCTGATAATATTTTTGGAGAGCCGTGATAGCTCAGTGTCCGGGCGCTCGCCTTTAATTCAATATACTCGAGCAACTTGAGTTCGATCCCCGGTGCCGGCACCAATGAAGTTTTTAACTTTAAGCGCTGACTTATCACGTGCTCCGCGGTGAAGGAAACCTGCATATTTTCGAAATAATAAAAAAAAATATATTTCGAAGATATGAGAAGTCCGCCAATCCGCAGTGGGGCCGCGTGGTGGACTATGCCCTGATACCCTCTGTATAGAGGAGGCCTTTGCCCAGCAGTGGGACATGTATAAGCTGTTACTTTACTTTACTTTAATATTTTTGCCTATTTCTCTGCTCTTTTTATATCTTCATTCACAGTCGAACAAAAGTAACGAACATAGCTCAGATGATTAGCAAGCTGAAGTGGGGAAGGGCGGACCATATAGCTCGTAGAACCAATAACCGTTGGGGAAGAAAGGTTCTCGAGTAGCAGTCTCGTAATGGCCATCGCAGTGTATGACGCCCTCTCACACATGCAGTGCGACCTCTGCAAATGTGCGGGAAGTCGATGAATGTAGGTGGCTAAGCACAATCCTTAGCCACTTGCATTCATCGACCGTGGCAGTTTGTGGGGGAGGCCTATGTTCAACAGTGGACTCAAACAGGCTGAATTGATGATGTTGATATCTTTATCGGCAACAATACCATAAACTGTACTTTACTTTGACTGATCTTTAGCTTTCAGTCCATAGACTATTAAAGCTTCATCGAACCTAGAACACGCGAGATAGCAGGATCTCACGAGCTTGATACGTCCTCTGGCCTCGCATATGCTCATGCGTGAATTATCTATGAGGAGGAATGTCACCTACGGGCCATCGAGGTTAGTTACGAATGGCTATTGACTTTGTTAATCGTTGGTAAGGCCGGTGAGAACCGCCGTAAAACGCAGGTGCACCTTGTGTTCCCGTTGTAGTCGTTTCGCCGTGCTCGTAGGCGAAATGAACTATTTGGTCTTGTATTTTAGCACTAAATGTCGGTGTTGTATTGTTGGGCGGCACCTCTTGATGTTCCGACCCGCTTATGCCCTTTCTCGACCAGTTGCTGCAGTCTCGTTTCGCTAGCAATGTTGAGAACGTTCGCGTTTATGCAATTCTCTGTTTAGCAAAAGAGGGTTGAAATGGTTTTTGGCTCTTTCGATGAACCGTTTGGTTAGCTAACTAAAGTTTTAGCGTAGTGTCGGCAGTCTGTAGTCTTCATGCAGCTCGACGTTACGCTTTCACCTGAAGTTTGCAAAGGTGTTTAGGGTTGACGTGGGCAAAGGGCATGCAAGCGTGGGACGTTATTTATCGTATGGTACGGGGGAATTGTATAACAAAAGCCTTAAGGGATTTTTGCTTGACGGGTTCGTTAGACCGTAGAATGGGCCGGATGCGAACGCGGCCTATTCCTAATATTTTTGATGTTTGTATTGAATGACATTATGGAGTCGACAATGACTCCCAGGTATTGGACTTTCTTCTTCAAAGGCCGTGGCATCCTGTTTTCAAGGTGGTTTGTCCTAGCATTCTGTTTGGATTCTAAAATGGATTTCTTATGGATTAAGACAGCAAACGAGTAGGCGTTTTCATTGATTACCATCAAAATATTATTACCATTCATTAAGTGACTACCGAGTGTAAACACACCAATACCCGTAATGTGGTTGTGGTCTGAGTTACTTTGCCAACTAGAGGCTACACGCAAAAATGTAAATACTTCTTTTGTACGAGGAATTGGCTAGTGTTCGAGTGCTATCCTAAATTCCAACCTGACGGTAAAGCAGTGCGGCCGGATGTTCCAAACCCACTAGCTCTCTTAAAATTTATTCAGTCTTGAGTTGAGCCCCACGCTGTGTTCAGATGGGAATACAAGTTGTTCTATTCCTTTGAGGCACAAATAATAACGACTAAAGACTAAAGGAAAGGATTGAAATGTTTCGTGAGTCCTAGTTGTCCGATGTTGGAAAGGGAAATAAATACGTATATTTACTATTTGCAACAGCAGAAACTGTTGCGGTTTTCTACCAGATTGAACTAAATTTTATTGATTTATACTTTACTAGCTTTTCGCCCGCGGCCTCGCTCGCGTTGAAGTCCTTAAATAAATATCTTTCTTCAAAAACGATACATATTTTAACGAAAGATATTCTGCCTTTTACAATATTTTTTCACTTTTTTCCAATAAAAAATAGCCTATGTTTTCTCAGGCTCTAGACTATCTGTGTACCAAATTTCATTTAAATCGGTTCAGTAGTTTTTGCGTGAAAGCAAGACGGACAGACAGAGTAACTTTCGCATTTATAAAATTAAGTATGGATTTTAAAGACCTTAAATAGGAATTACAAAGCGCGCTGGCAACTGTGGTAGGGCCACGCAACAGTCTTCGCTGCTGCGTGAATGGGCTGTTGATTGGCGGGAAGTGGAAGTGTTATAGTTCTGTGTTTCGCTTGGTGAGTTAGGTAACCGAGGTTCACTTTATTAAAAAGTGGCAACGCACTTTGATGACTCCGTGGCGCAGTTGCCAAGGTATTGGCTTCGGCGTCGGGGGTCGTGGGTTCGATTCCCACATGGGACAACTATTTGTGTGGCCCACAGATAGTTGTTTCGCATCTGGGTGTTTGTCCGCGTGAAATTTAGGTTTGTAAAATGTCTTTACAACACAGGATAATGTTATCCTAAAGTAAGGGTAACGTTTTTAAAAAAAAAGAAAAAAAAATTACTTGTAACCTGTCAGATGCTGTAGATGTCCATGGACGGCGGTTATCACTTAAAATCAGGTGCAACGCCTACTCGCTTGCCGTCTTATTACATAAAAAATTAACTGAAATCCTCCACTTTTCAACCTGTGGCGTGAAGAACAATGGTGGTAGGTAGTGCAATAATTTAAAGAACACGATAGACACGCCTTAGCGATCTTCTATTTGAAGTTGATCTATCCATGATGTCAGCACTTATGGCTTATAATATTAATATAGAGTACAAATTTCAGACTTTTAACTCCTCGCATTATTGCCATTTGTGTATTTTAATCGCCTATTATCGCCTATCGCCTAACGAATTATTGTAAGCATTAAAAAAACTTTAATCTGTTTTGCAAATTGGGATTTTTACGTATCCTAATACAGAATTTGATTGGTACTCAATAGCCTAATACTTTTATTTTTTTCTTACTATTTATCAGTTGTTTGGATATGTTTCGAAACAATTCATAAGTAAAGATTTGAATTTGTCCATCTTACATCATAGTTATCGCTTAGCTGCACGCTTTTTATTAACCGTATCAATACTTAATTTCGTATCCCAGTTGAACATAAAGCAGAAATTGTGATTCTCCATCTATGTAACGGCCACGGGAGCTTGTTTGAAAATGAATCTTTTTTTTAACGGAACGTTCTTCAAGCAAGCGAAGGCTCATGCGTTCGTCGCTACGACGACGCGGTTGGCTCGGGATTCAAAATAAAACAATCGACTCTTGTGCAGCGCCTAACCGGCTTCGCTGGCGATAGGACGCGCGTCTTTGTGCCTCCGTCTGTTGCGAACAAAAAGCGGGAAAACTCAACTGTTATTTATTGTGTTGAATAATTAAAAAAGAGACTGTCATTATATTTTTGTCTACTGTCTAATTTCATTGACTGTTTTTATAAATAATTATTCCTTTACAAAAATGTTTTGTGAAATAAAGTGAACTATTCAAATTTTGTGTCCAGCGCGAACAAACTAAGTGATAATTATTTGGATGTT